CTCTCTCGGTATTCGAATTGACTCAAAAAAAAAAAAAAAAACAAACTCGTATAGAATACAAATGCTGATCAAGAATATATATGCTTTGTGGGGTCTGCCCCGCCTCCTTCTGCCTGTTATATTTTCAGCTCCCGCAAACCTAATACACTCTTGTACATTTTATGTACAGAGTATAAAAACAAACTTGACCTGCCTAGGGCTCAGGGAAAGCTAGATACCAAGTTTGGTCATTCTAACTCTTGTACCTTCTGAGATCCTTGTGCTCATACAGACGGGCGGGCAGACGGACATAGCTATATCGTGTCGGCTTGTTCAAGAATATACATATATACTTTTGGGGGTCTGCCACGTCTCCTTCTGTGTGTTACATTCATTCGCACAAAACTAGTATAGCCTTTTACCCTTTGGGTACAGGCTATAAAATGTAAAGAAAAGTCCGTTGAAATAAAGTTATTAAGAAAAGGTAGAGAAAAGTCCGTTGAAATAAAGTAAACATATTGCTATTGAAAAGACATTGTTTCTATATATTGAGTTTTGTGTATATTGTATTAGGACACCCCTTAGGGTTTCTATGAAAAACCCGCGTTTTCAACCGATCGACTTTAAACTTGTTTTGTATATTCAAGAAGCGATTTCTGATAGTTCGAAGATGGGGAAAACAGCCTTCAAGGTTTGTTTGAAAATTCAAAAAATACTGCATACTCAGCTTGAGTTATTGAAAAGTTTGTGTTATAAATTTCGTAAATTTAAATGAAAATTAAAATCTTTGATACATAATCAACACAACTAAATCTACAATTTTGTATTGAACGATATTCAAACAAGACAGAACGCTACAGTCGAGCAAGCCCGATAGTAAAATATCCTGTACTCTCCACAAAAAAAAAAGGAAAATTAAAAAAAAATTATTAAAAAATTTAATTAATTAAATTAATTATAAAAAATATTCAACACATGCATACATACATAAGTGTTTATGTACAATTTCAATAGAATAAATTTACATCAGAATCGTGTCTCTGCGTGTTTATGTTGAACGAAAGCAGCAACAACAACAAACAAAATTCGAACTTTATCGACCTTAGGAGAACCTGGTTATTCGAGCTCTTATACTTTCTGAGGTCCTTGCGTTCATACGGACGGACGGAAGTACAGAAAGACATGGCTATATCGACTCGGCTTGACTCGGCAATAATATGCATACTTTGTGGGGTCTGCCACGCCTCCACGCCTCTGTTACATTTTTCACTTACCACAAAATCTTTGCCAAATTGTACACCTTTTAATTGTAGATTCAGATTCTGATTATCACTGTCATTCATTCATATGTACATATAGGTACATATGTATGTACATAAGTACGTACGAATATTCATAATTAGTATTTATTGCACTAACTAAGTTTCTCTTTGGTTGTCCCTATAGAAACCTATCTGGAGATGAACATAATGTCGAAAGAGAAATAGCATGTGGTAAAAAATATATAATTGTAAGCAAAAAGTACGTTGCCCAGCAGAGGCGGGCAAGACCTGGTAGTTCTAATTTTAAACGAAAAACGTGTTAGTCTTATCAGTTGTTTGTTTACTTCTCTGTTGTCTACGCCTCGAGTATTCTCATCACGAAAGAACGAGACAGTAGATCAGAAAAGTAATTGATTCATAAAATTCATTTAGTTAATATACTAAGGTCGCAAAATTAGAAGAAATTGCCAATTTGCAGCGATAAGTGGTAAACAAGTCGCACATCTTTACACAAGTAAATGCATAAATCAACTAAGTCGAAGATCTTTACAGTGCATTTGTCAACAGTCTCTGTAAATTGCACCTAAATTTGCATTGCTTTGAACTTGAACTTCGTCCGCGAAACTGGGCCGATTACTGCAAATACATTCATAAGTCGTGTGCAAAACCATTACACACATAATGCAAAAACTTACAAGATTCTCTGTGGCCTAACAATGTTGCAAATGCATTCCAAAGAGTACGAGTCCATTACGAGTGTGATCCATTTTGCTTTCGTGCGGTATTTTAAGAGAAATTGCCAGGGTTCTCTTGCAGCAGGAGAACATAGTATACATAGTATACATAGTACTGTGTAATCATGTATGTAGGTGTTTTAACACCACTTGCCTTGGTAGAAAATGAATGGATTTTGAAATATGTATATAGTACAAGAGTATATAAGGTTTGTGCAAAGTGAAAATGTATGTATCTAAAACAGCTTGTCCTGCCTGACTGACTCACTAATTGGAGATTGAAGAAGTGGATCTAAAGTTAGTATGAAACAAGTAAAAAAGCTAAAGTCGGGTGTCCCGACTTTGAAATACTCTGTACATATGTTTACAATAATTATAGAAAATAAAAAAAATTAAGAAAATAAAAAAAAAATTTGATCGATTTTACCTCTCTCGGTATTCGAACTCACGTAAAGGGTGTATAATTGCACATTTACATAGCAATTGCGTCTGTGTGAGTGTATGTATGCCTATGCGCATCAATTCGTGTCTGTGTAAGCATTTTCGCAGTCAACCAAACAGCAACATCGACAACAGCCGCGGGCAGCGCTTGAGCAGCGCTGCAGCAGCAAATATATTTATGGCTATAACTTCTTGGTAAATCGGTCTATCATAGTGAAACTTGGCATACGGACACATAATTACTAACTGGGGGTATTTGCAAAATTTTAGTTCGAAATTCCAAGAATTACGGGAGTTAGAGAAAATCGCATTTGCGGGGGAGAGGGGGGAGGGAGGGGAATTCCAAAATATACATTTTCTGCGTATTCACACAAGGCATCTTGGACTAAAATTTGGTGTGCCTAGGTCTTATAGTCTCCGAGATATAGGCGATTATACGAATGGAAAATCGGGAAAACCCCCATAGGGGGGAAGTGGGGGGGAAATCAAAAAAATAAAACAAACTCGTATAGAATACACACATAACGCATCTTTGTGGAAAATTTGGTGTCTCTATCTCTTATAGTCTCTGAGATCCAGGTGTTCATACGGACGGACAGACGGACAGACAGACAGACAGGGCTAGATCGACTCGTCTTGTCACGCTGATCAATAATATATATACTTTGTGGGGTCTGCCACGCCTCCTTCTGCCTGTTACATTTTTCAGCTCCCGCAAACCTAATATACTCTTGTACATTTCATGTACAGAGTATAAAACCTGCATATTTCGTACGACTAACTTTAAAATACATATAATATATTTCTGAAGGTCTGTTAAGCGATTGAGTTCTGCTCATCTTATTGCCATTTAGTAAACCATTTGACCGAATAGCCTTTCCTGTACTCTCAGCATTTATGCCAAATGATTAAAAAAATTAATTCAATTTAATTAATTAAGAAAGCTAAAGAATTTCAAACAAGATCATTTTCAAGTGATTCGTCAGCCTTTTTGGAACTGTTGTCGAAGGCGAACTCAAAAAAGTTAGATAATACAAAATAAATAAACTTAGTTCTGATAATTTAACAGCCAAGAATAGCATAAAATATAATTTTGTAGATGAAGTGTGTGGGCTGGCTATCATGTGATAATTAAATTTAACGAAGTACAATTAGTGATCGGATAGCGACAGCAAACTGTACATCGAAAAATATGAGCATGCTTCAAGCATTTTGGTGATTCTAGCTCTTATACTTCCCCAGTTACCTGCGTTTATACAAAAGGAAACACAGTATGTACTATGTATGTACATAGGTCCCTGGCTGCATCAATACTTGTATATTATCTTTCATACTGATAAACATTATTGTGGGATCTGTTATACATATTTCCTTTTGCCTGGTTTTTACATACATTACATACATTCGCACCAATTACGTGCACACATCTATTGAGTTATGGGTATACAAATAGTTTGCGTTATAACGACGCATATTGTGAGTGTTAAAATAAAGGCAATACTGCTCGTTTTGTTTGGAGTGGCGGAATAAAATTAACAGACTGTGTGAAATTGTGGTTGGAACTTATGGTTTCTCCACTGAAAACTGCTCAGAAACTTGAGCATTGCTTGTGAATTTTAATTTTTTCTCAAAACTGAAACCAATTTTGCATAAATAGCTTGTCCATTTCGTTAAGTGTTTTGTAGCGCATGATTCTTCACATTTGATGCGTTAGGACAAGCATATCATGTTCGTGTTTTCTCTCTTTCGCACTGGCTCTATCTTTCAAGAGTATCAGATAATACCTACCACTGGCAGGCTACCGCATACATACATACATACAGATAATGCCACACAACAAACGTTTACTCTAAGGGGTTGAAGCAGCTCTCTTATATTCAGGGAGGGCAATTTGGCTTTTTTCCCGTCAAATCTAGACGTTTTTGAAATCCAACTGCAGAAAAAATTCGGAATAGGCGGAAAATACGATGCAGGAATTTCTGGAGTTCTGATTTTTATACTCTGTGCATGAAATGTACAAGAGTATATTAGGTTTGCGGGAAGTGAAAAATGTAACAGGCAGAAGGAGGCGTGGCAGACCCTGTTGTTGATGTTGCTGTTTGGTTGACTGCTAACATGTTTACACAGACACGAATTGATGCGCATAGGCATTCATACACTCACACAGACGCAGTTGCTATGTAAATGTGCAATTAGACACCCTTTACGTGAGTTCGAATACCGAAAGAGGTAAAATCGATCCAATTTTTTTTTTTAAATTTTCCTCTTTTTTTAATTTTTCTAATTATTGTAAACATATGTACGGAGTATTTCAAAGTCGGGACACCCGGCTTTAGCTTTTTCACTTGTTTTTAAAAATATATTTAGTTTTTCACTGCATTTTTGTAGAATTGCCAACATTAAAGCTAGATTTCATACTCCTTCCCGTCAAAACCGCTTTTTTTCTTCCGAAAAGTTGGCATCACTGCTTATGTATATTAAACCGCATAATCAGCGAGAGCCAGCACCAAAGAGCTGGCTGGCATTCCGCTCTCTGCTTTGGAACATGCGCGCACAGCTCCGTATGGTTAGTTGCAAGCCGACGAAGATCGTGAGTGGTTGTTCGGCCGGCGGGAAAATTAGCGGGAAAGTGTGTGCTGATAAGCATTTACTGCAACACCTATAGCTTAGAGCTCCGAAGTCTAGCTCCGAGTAAAACATTCGCTCATTAGTAAAACAAACAGGCCAAGTCAAACAAGTTCTGAGCAGAATACGTAGACAAACACGGCGTATACTTAACGCGTTGCCCAACAGGCTGTCTAACGGGTTGCGCATACGTCCCCTTCGACTCCAATACCGTTACCAGCAGCGGCGTGCGAGCAATGAACCACGCAGGGCCAACAGCAACAGAGACAACAAGAACAACAAACATTTGGTCGAATCATACGACTGCGAAACGCACAACGGCAGCTGTTGAAGAGCGCTCATAAACGCGTCACAAAAAAGCAAAAAAAAAAAAACAAACCGAAAAATAGATAAATTAACGAAGACTAGCGACCGAGCAATCGCAAATTGGCACGTTTCTGTAGCGCTATACGGTGAGATTGGCGTGGCTAAGACGTATCGCTGCAACTAATCGCTATGGGATACGACGACGTCATCAAACACCTGGGCGAATTTGGAAGGTATCAGAGACGCATTTACTTGCTGCTGTGCCTGCCCGCAATTATCTGTGCCTTCCATAAGCTGGCCGGCGTCTTTCTACTGGCCCGTCCAGAGTTTCGCTGCTTGTTGCCGTTCGAGGATGCCTCGACGGCCAGCTACGATTCACTACCGCTCACGCAGTGGCCTCTCCATTATCCACTGAACAATGAGACCGGGAAATGGGAGAGTTGTGAGTACTACGACCGTGACTACAACAATTCAACCGATTCAGATTCAGATACCGCTGTGAATGACAGGCTGCACTGCAGCCGCTATGTCTATGACAAGAGGAAGTTTGCAAACAGCGCTGTCACCGAATGGAACATGGTTTGTGGCCGCAGCGCGCTCTCGGCCACCAGCGATTCTCTGTTTATGGTGGGCGTGCTCCTAGGCAGCTTCATATTCGGCCAAATGTCCGACAAACTGGGTCGCAAGCCAACCTTCTTTGCCTCGCTTGTTATCCAGTTGGTGTTCGGCGTAATTGTGGCTGTCGCACCTGAATATTTCACCTACACGATATCTCGCATGATTGTCGGCGCTACCACCTCGGGCGTGTTTCTGGTAGCCTATGTGATAGCGATGGAAATGGTGGGCGCCTCGTATCGTCTGTTTGCGGGCGTGGCTATGCAAATGTTCTTCTCAGTAGGGTTTATGCTGCTCGCTGGCTTTGCCTATTTCATACACGACTGGCGTTGGTTACAGATCGCTCTGACACTGCCGGGACTGCTCTTTATGTGTTACTATTGGATTGTACCCGAATCGACGCGCTGGCTGCTCTTGAAGGGGCGCAAGGAGGAGGCCTTTGTCATTATTGAAAAGGCGGCGCGTATCAATGGGGCTACGATACCGACTCATATTTACGACGAACTGGTTGAGGAAGTAGCCGAGCAAAAGAAACAGGATGCTCTCGCCGTCAAGGAACCCAAGCCCTCGGTACTAGACCTCCTACGCTATCCAAATTTGCGTCGTAAGACGCTTCTCATTTTCTTCGACTGGTTTGTCAATAGCGGTGTATATTATGCACTGTCCTGGAATACAAATAATCTGGGCGGCAACGCTCTGCTTAACTTCATGATCTCTGGCGCTGTGGAGATACCCGCGTACATTTTCCTGCTGCTCACTCTCAACAGGTGGGGACGCCGCTCTATTCTGTGTGGGACCATGCTGCTAGCCGGCTCCAGTTTGCTGTTGGGTGTCTTGGTTCCCAGCACTATGAACTGGCTGATCATCACGTGTGCGATGGCGGGAAAACTGGCCATCACTGCTTCCTATGGAACGGTGTACATCTTCACCGCTGAGCAGTTTCCCACGGTGGTGCGCAATGTGGGATTAGGCGCCTCCTCTATGGTAGCGCGTGTGGGCGGCATACTGGCACCCTATGTGAATATATTAGGCGAGATCTGGCAGCCACTGCCGTTTCTCATGTGTGGAGCACTCTCATTCACCGCCGGTCTGCTGTCGTTACTGCTTCCAGAGACGCACAATAAACCGATGCTGGAGACCATTGCAGATGGTGAGAACTTTGGCAAAAGTGGGGAGCCGAGCGGAGAGGCCGGCGAGGAACTGAACACCATGCTAAACGGGCAACACAACGGCAAGGCGAGCTAATTAGAGGTGACCGGGCTGCGGGAAGACCATCTTGTTAAATTCATGTTATTATCTAGACATAGAGCACTTTGTTGATACATCTTTACAGGACGTTGTTCTATCATTCATCTGTGTACCTAATAAATAATAAAATTTGTAAGCAATGCAGCCATATATTGCAAATAGCAATTCGTTTTATTATTCACAGAATAACACATTTTCTGCGTTTTTTATCCTTTACACAATTTTTCCCGCCTGTCACTCAGTTTGTGCGCTCATCGTCCACTTCTAATATAGAACAAATTCTTGTCGGATTTCAGTATTATAGTTAGTATACTTGTAATTTGACTAATTTGATCACTCGCATAATGTGGAGGGTATTAGGAATTTGAGTATTCTTGTGTTTTTTTTTTTTTTGCGCTCCACAACAAAATGATAAGCGATAAGCTGGGCGAGCAGCTTCAAAAGGCCACCAGAACAAGGCAAGCAAGCGGAATCTTTCAGCTGCAGATTCGAAAACCAGCTGATAAGTCCGATCCCCTAGTACTCGGCAGCTGCAGCTGCTTGCAACCGACTTAGTGGTTCGAGGGATGGAAATGAAAATGTTTGCAGGCATACTATATTTGAGGCAACACACGCACAAACTAATGCCAGCTGCCGCTATTACAACGTGGCCATCGATTTTTATTGATTGAGACACCTATGTATGTATGTACAAGTATATAAGATTGGGCAATCAATTTTAACATTCATTTATGTACGTTGCCGGCAAATTACTGTCCTATGTATTCACCCATACAAATGCAGGTATTTGAACGTATTTGAAGATATATTTTTGACGCACAAGGATTATTTGTTACATTCCTCCATGAACATAAAATTGAAAAACATATGAATTCGAACATCCAAGCCCCTCGTTTAGTCATTTAACATTTTTGGCGCTATATAGTAATCCAAATTGGATTATACTCATGTGAAGCCACATTATGTAAAATGTGTTGGGATTGTCCAATCAAACAAAAAAGTTATTCTTTATTCGCCAAATTTGTATTGTTCAATGTTACTTGTAAGATGCATTTGACCTTTATGAAGCTACGAAAACGTTAAAAGCTATTAACAATTTTTTTTTAAGAGTTGAGCCCACTCGACTCTAGCATTCCTTTCTTGTTTTATGTAGTAGCTTTGGACTGATTACTATATTTCAGTTCAGTTGTATATGTATTCAATTGGACAATTAATTAGAAATAATTTAATCTATCATATCAGATCAGATGCACGTTCAAAGATTTAAATGTTGTCTGCGGAAAAGTATGCCTTCAACTCTTTTATTTGATAAAGTGGTGAGCTTTTGCGTTGTTGACTTTTTAGTTTTGGTTGAACCACTTGTACAGCCCTCGGAAAGCACAATTTTGCTTATATTGGATTATGTCAAGAAATGATTGAATTGGGGAAACATAGTGTACAAAACTAAATTAGAATCGTTTAATTTATTAATGTCATTAGCTTTGGTGTTGGGAATTCAAATGACTTGGGTATGCTTGAAAGACTTATGAAAAATGCCGCTTTTTATAAATATGCAGCCCAAAAATATGCTGCAGTTCATACTTGTATACAAGTATGTATGTACAAAGCACTCTTTGATTGAACAGCACTATCGATACGTCCGGAAAATGCAGACAACCTAGCCAAAAATGTCATTCCTAAATTCAAAACACTTGGAGAAATGGAAGATTTTAGTAAAATGAATCTACCATTTGGCACGCAATCCCCGGACTTTGATGTGCTTATAGTGGGTGCAGGGCTGTCTGGCTTGACATCGGCCGTGAAAATTCTGTCCAAAGAGCAATCGCTGAACATTATAATCCTTGACGAGAACAGTGTACCTGGCGGTCTGTTGAGCGTGGATGGTTCCCGCTTTGTAAATACCGAGCAGCAGCGATTGATAACCTTCTTGAATCTATTTCATGTGGCACCACATCAGCGACTATCGAATATCTCGAGACTTAAGCGCTGCTGGGACTTGGATCGAGGACTGACTTCGGTTCCGGCAAAGATCGAGCTGACACGCTACATAGATATGTTGGATCTACGCATGAAGAAGTTCCAGTCAGCGCGCTATAAGTAAGTGTCGTACTTCGATCTCTCCTCTTTTTCCAGATGCGTACTGAGACCTCCCAGTATGTAAAATGTCACAGCACAGAAGGGTACACGTATGTCTTGGGCTTATGTGTGTTCTAATTTAGAGAAATTGTTCAATTTTATTTATGGAAGATTATGGATCTTGGATTGCCAATATTTACTTTTATTTCTTAAAATTGTGTAGATTACGCAAGCGCGCTTCGACCATGGAGCACCACATTTGTGGCAGCTTGTTCTTTAACAAGTCCCGCCGCTTCATGTTGAATGTGGTGGAGCTAGTGTGCGGAGTGGATGCCAGCGAGGTCAACTACGATGAGTTTATGTGCGTGTGCAGTTCCTGCGGCGGCCTGCGTATGATAATTGATCTGTAAGTATTCTCAATAGACAATTTCTTCATTGCAAAGTCAACAATTGGCAGATACATCAACTTTCCGGGCAATATGTTTGAGATCTCTAGCAAGAAGCTCGTGAGTGCAATACTCGAAAAGTTGAAAAACATTGGAATTTATACCAATCGTAAGGTAACTGACGTAGAGCACTTCAAGAATTATGTGCTGGTCACGGACTCCTCTGGTAATCGCTACACGGCTGAAGCCGTCATTATGGCCATCCCCTGGAACAACGTGGAACAGATCAACTTTATGCCGGCCATGCCCGAAAGATTTCGCGCGGAGCCTCGAGTGGCAGTCAAGTCCAAGCGCGTGATCACACAATTCAGTGTCAGCTACAGCAAGTCTTTTTGGGACTTGCTAGGCTACTCGGGGCACTTTTTGTGTAGCTCCCCTTTTATTGTGGGCCACGAGAACCGGCCCGCCACCTTCTCTGGATACATGTTGCACGCACCGGCGCAGGATGGGGATGTGCGGCGCGTTGTACTCCAACAACTGGCGAAGCATTTCGGTAAGGAAATGCTGGAACCTATCGACTATAATGAGAACAGCTTTGGCCTGAGTGTTACGCTCCACAAGCCCCAGATAAGGCCCTGGAATCGCATCATTTGGTCATCCTCGTCTGCAGTGGGAACCTATTATCGTAATCTAATGGGAGGCGCTGTGGACAGCGGCTTGCGAGCGGCCGTCAATGCACTATTTGTTGTGCGGCCGCAAGTAGTGGGCTGGAAGGATCTGCTTGATATGCAGGAGAAGGATCTGTACAAAAGTGAGACGCCGAGTCGCGTGAAAGGACTGCTCAGTCGTCTAAACCTCTACAATGTAACCTTCTATAGCGTATTTGTACTGGGACTGATTTTTCTACTTAATCTGGGCTACCAGCGAAGCTCCTAGCCTTTGGTGCCATATGGTAGGCTTTTGTGCAAATTAAAGTACATATCTACAGTTATAATCTGTCCACTTTGTCCACTGGCCCCATTTAATTCGATCATCACTACACCTAACCTAGCCTGAGTGCCCACTTGACTAATGGCAATTGATGGCGCCGTATGGCGTCCGTAAACGCCATAAATCTTTTCATTCAATTTAGTCTACCTCTATTCTGCCCGTTTGGGATGTTTGTGCATAACACTAGGCTCATTTCAACGGCAATCATTCACTTAAGCGCCGCCCCCGCCACCCACGCCACCGAGATATTGAGCTCTCCACTACGTATTCCTTCTTTTTGTCTACTTCCCTCATACAGTAAGCTCTCGCACCACCTCATCAACCTGACGATACTTAGAAATACATTTATACCCAGCTATATAGTATGTGCAATATATTTTTTTTATTTGTTTTTTATTCAGAATATCAACAATAATTCTGTCGATTATATTATAGAACTTAATATAACAATTTTAACTGATCTTAAAAGATAAGAAAGCCTAAGACAAAGTTGTACAATGACGTCTATTAATGCCTCCGACACATTGGGGGAATTTTATTTGTGATATTTACCTAGTAGCACATCACCAAATCCACAAAATGACTGAACTGAAAAGTATAAATTTAAAGTGTATTAACATACAGATGCGATGATATATATGTACATATAAATGATTAGACGAGTTAATATAGAAATTCCCGTCTGTCCGTATTATCACCGACAACTTCTGAGCCATACCAGCTGTAAACTAGATTAGTGACGACTTGTCTTATCCCCAAGCAGAGAAAGTCTATTGCAAACCATATCCAGCTCAAATATTTTGCATAGCTCCCATAGGACTGATCGATGGAAAAACCACTGTTGGTAGGCAAATATATTCGTTTATGAACATGAAAATATGAATTTTACGATATTTAAGGAAATGATATTTAATTCGGAGCACTATATCATGCAGCTGCTGCGGAACAAAAAACTCTCTTGTTTCTTACAATAACGAGTTATTGTATATTTATGAGTATTTTGTAAACAGTTTTTCAAAATAATCTGAAATTTCATCAAATGAGTTTTTACAGGGCTTTAAATGTTTAAAGCAATGGAATAGAATCGATATTCTTTTAAATTGAGAGTGTAAGTTAATGAGCTCCTATCCAGCAAGGGATAGTTTTGTTATTTTATAAGAAGTTCAGCGATTATTTGAAAATTTTCTGGATATCAAACCCTAGAACTCACTGTACAGATTATGTTTATAATTCAAATAGGCCCAGACATACGAGTATATATCCATCTACTTTGTGGACTTTTATCATTACAGCATATGCGCTGATTTGTCAATTTTCTTTTCCATTGACTCGAACACTCTAATTAGATAAGTGCTGTATAAATGGGCGCCACTTTGCATTTTTCCAATGTCGCAATACTATTTACTCAAACAAACAATTAGGTATAGAGTATGGCGTCAAGTGTGTATCTCTCCCCCTCTCTCGCAGTCTGAGTTATATAATTCAAACAAATCCAACAAATTCAAACTCATTCACAAACTATCAACTTTCCGAGACTGTTCCACACCCATATGCATAAATTATGCAAAAAAACTTTTATTATGTGCACTCGACTTTCCCCCCCATCAGGTGAGGCACTGGAAGTGCAATTTTCACAGATGAATAGAATACGAATGCGGTGGAGGAAGATGATTATATGCATGAGAAAAAGTGAATAACTGAACAATTAAAATAAAATCAATCTCTCATACTCCTACCCTGCGGCTGAGCCCGGGGCTTTTGATTGATTGACGTATGTTTATACTTGTATGTGTGTACATACATATGTAGACTGTCGCAACCAATTTGTTGGGATCAACTTTATAGATAAAGGGAGCAACAAAAATCTAGTTTGATTTTGATTCGATCATGAATTGATTGCAGAAAGGTCAGAGCTTTTCAAAATCTACTTGAAGCCGGTTGAAGAAGCTATCATAACGCATACGTACGAATTGAAATGCTTTTATTTTGCTTTTAAGTGTTCGAAAAGATACTTATGGATTACTTACCTAGATAGCAAAGCGCAAGGCAAAACAACTTTACAAAAGTTTTAAAAAATATATATATTTATTTTTTGCGTTGTAATATATACTCATATTTCTATACAATTCCATTAAAATCTCCTTTGAAACCTGATAAGTATATAAAAATAACAAGCTATTCAATTAGTTTTATTACAAATTTTCTATCCCTCTATTTTCTAATGGATAAGAAACACCAAACATTTCTAGTGATGTATCGCATAAAAACAATACCAAACCAATACCCAATTTCAATTTCAGTACAATATGTTGTATTTTGTGTTATTAAATTGTATACAAATTTCATTGAAAACATCATGGGTGCTCTTTTCAGAGAGCAGCCCCAAACAGATCTGTTGCTGAATTTCGAGCAACAATTTTAAAACAAGAATAGACTTTTAAATACCCTGTTGCTACTGCCAAAATAGCACGAGAAGGGTAAGACTGGAAATGCTTAGCCGAAACCCAAAAATAATATTGTATCCAAATAGCAAATGCGTATACTAGATTTATGTAAATGTACATACTATACATATACATACATATGTATGTAGGGCACACAAACACTAATACATATTGTATGTGAAACCAAATTAAAGAATGAATTTTGAATTAGTTGCTTCTGTCGCTTTAAACTTAAATTTAAAACTAACCTAAGTTTCTTAGTAAGTTGCTTCTTTCTTCACTAAGATACCGAACGGCTTAATCTCTGCTCTGAAGTATGTATGTATGTATGTGTGTACACAGATGCATATACAAATGTACATATGTATGTATTAGATTTATGAATTAATTCTGTGTTAAGGATTCCTAGTACAGCCGTGGCTCTTCAGCACCGAGACATAAGCAGAGCTGTCACAGTAATTACGATAGCTAATATCTGTATGAAATCGTTCGAACCAAAAAGGAAAATTAATCCAAGTCGTACATACTTGTATATTACAAAAACCAACAATTGAGATGGAAATAAGCATACGAGTTGTTTTATTTATAACAAATAATGTGGCCGTATTTCGCAAAGTTTACTAATTCAACAGATGCTCGAAAAGGACATATGTATGTACATATCTCCGCGCGGAGATAATACATATTGGGTATGTATGCTCGTTGAGCTATGCCAGGCCACGATTGAATTCTGAATGAAAACGATTTTTATTATATCCTATTAATTGCAAATGAACTGAATGCACTATACTTTTTTTTGCAAAACTTTGGGAGACCTGAAATTACATATTACAAGTGAAAGCACTCAACTGTGAACTGCTACCACTGCAGTGCACTGTGGCCTATTAATTTTTCTTTCTAGTCTGAAAAGCGTTTGTCGAACCAATGTGACCCAATTCGGAGCAGTCTGTGTAGAGTGCTTACTATGTCACTTAAAAATAATCTCTCATTGAATGCGCAATGATTTCCTTAGTACTGGCACAGCACACACAAACATACCAATTACGTATATAGAACGGGAAGAGCCTCCGCCGCTATCGCTGCTACGAACTGATTCGATCGCCAAGCATTGGCAGAGGAGAGAAAAATACGAAGGCACAGCAAGTGAAGCATAATGTGTGTGCGAGTGCAAGTACGACGCACACATTTTTTGTTAATCATCCCCTGCCCACTTTTTGCCTTCTGACCGAGGCTTCGCTCGCATACAAAACGGCACGATCGGCCTCCCGCGGGCTTAGTGTGTGAGACGCATTCGAAGCGGCGAGTGGACGAGTAGGTGAATAGTTGGTGTGCCGCACGGCATCAAAAAATTCAACATAACAGTAAACACACGCGCTCCTCGGTGCATACTCGAAGTCGCACGAAATTAGAAAGAGTGATGTCCGACCCAAAAAAAAGTAGACACCTAAATATATTTAATTTTCATATAAACACATGAAAAACGTGTCGTTGTGTACTCTTTGTGCCCTCCTCGTTCTACGTACATGTTGAAAAACACAAGCACAAAACATAAACGAAAATTCAAAATCGAAACGGTAACAGATAACGAGCATAATATGGCATACATTGCCCGCCAAGGCGGCAATTGAGAAATTTTCAATAAAGTGAAAGTAAAACACCTTCGCCTTTTTCTTTGCCTTCGACCTGCTGCAACGACGACAACGACGAGAGCACACGGTGACCCAGTCACTCGTTGAGACGTCGCCTGCCATTATCAACAACTGACCAATGCCAGAGGCTAGTCATTGCACCCGATTGTCGGACAGCGGACAGATGCTGACAATAAACAATAATACAAGTACATACTACATACTCGTATGTCTATGAAAAGCAAAAATCAAAATACCGACTTCGGTTGTTGCATTTGAAATTCAGCAATTAATTGAAATAGATTATAAATACTTGCACATATGTATGTATGTATGTATATTCATACATACATACATGCAAAACAAGTTCAAATTTAAGATCAAGTTCAGTGTCGCAATCCTCCATGTGCACTGCTTTCTAACAGCGCCACAGCGACGGATATGAATTTTATTTTTAGTTCCATTCTGAGCTGCAAAGACGCCACAACCACAAATTACTTGATAACGCCAGTGTTTTGAGCTCACATCAGTAGAAGGCAATCACGTGGTACATCTGGAAGTCCCGTGCTGCACTGCAAGTGTGTTCTTTTTATTGTGAATGCTTAATACAGCTGTGATACAAATATAATGACTCGAAAGAATGAAAATCCTGAAAAAACAAAGGAGCGCATCAGCGAGAATGGCATGAAAGATCTGCTCACGAAACAGTTGGAAATTGTGGGAAGTGGTGGTGCTTTTGTTTGGTGAGTTTGTATTTCGTTTGTATAATACGTATGTACACGTATGTATGTATTTATGTTTGTATTCATATTAGGCGATTTTCCTGTTCGCTTTTTGTTTTCTTTCTCATTTTTGTATGTTTAAGCAATAATGGTTTAAACTACGGTTGGGACTTCCATTGTTAATTGTGTTCAAAGAAGGATAATTTTTGAGTTGAATTTTGGTTGGATGAATTCGAAAATCTTTTATGTTACTTAAAATTGCGAATTAAGTGAATTTTTTCTATTATTATTATTAATACAATTGTTATACTACTTCTACTACGGTTAATTTACACTTTTAAAGTTTCGCAATACAGACCATTTGGTAAAGTAGAAGTTTATGTTAAAAGTAGTTCAATATAGTACAAACATACATATGTACATATGTATATCGACTGGCTTCTTTGGAGCCGAGGAATTGGTCGAGCATCAAGCAGAAGCATGGTCAGCCTGCTTGGGTGCGTACTGAGTCGTTCATTATGCCCGCTGGCAGGTCTGTTTATCTGCAGTTCTACAGTCTCCAGAATTATGCAATTTAATTTATAATATTTAAAATACATAATACTACGAATATTAATACTATTAAATATGAAATACCAATTTCATCATGTGGGAATTCTATTAAATGTTGGTCTCTGCTTTACGTTTGAGATTTATTCATCATTGATTTAAAAAAAAAAGTCATGTACGAAAAATACTTTTAAGCGCCATTACCAAACAGCATTAGTTCAAGCATAGAATTTTTCATTCTGTTTTTTCCTGACTAGGCCTTTTGTAATGGAGTTCTAAGCAATTGATTTTGTATGTGCTTAGATTTATGCCTTGTACGTGGCTTAAAATTAAAATGTATTACTAATTCGCAATGCGGCACAAAAACGGCAATGAAAACTAAACACGTATAGATTGTTTGAGTAAGTTTCATAATTCTACTCACACGTACTTGGAATTGAAAATATCACTATGTAGTAAATTTTATTGTTTATGGTCTGTATATAATGATCAGCATAGACTTTAAAATCACGTGGAGTTTAAAGGCTATTGTGTTATGATTTGCCGAAATGGGAAATGCAAATATACTTGCAACTACATACATATCTGCAGTAATATATCAATGGTATTATACCATAATTGTAAACTATAAACATTTGTTCTTTCCTACAACTACTGATTCTTCCAATTCTGTTCGAACGTCGCTGAGATTTGGTCTCACCATATGAACAATTTTAGTCGATTAGCACTTAAAATATATGCCATATACACGTATGTATGCGTTTGTACATATTATATTGAATATAATTATAGGAATATTAAAAATAATACGAACAGTAAGTGCACTAAGTACCAGCACACCCATGTAGACCTGATAACCCTGGGAAACGCGACCATTGTTGAGATTATGATTTAGAGTGTAAATGAGCTTTGTCAATAGACCATTTAGAACCGGTACTAGTAATAGCAGATCATGCGATGAAATCGGTGTCAGCGTTCCTCCTCGAGCTAATGGCCGCAGACACTGTGATAAGAGAGGCGCTACTACGCAAGTTACGCGTCTGTTTGATGAAAGGCGGGCGCGGTGAGGAGAATGCCTTTGGACCGTGATCTGAAGTGATTCAGGGCTGTGCGCAATACACTCCAGGAGCGTGTGTATGGGCGCTTAGTCGTAAAACAAAACAGTCCTCGAGTGCTTTGAATTTTAATAATGTACGAGTACGGAAAGTAAAAATCGAAGTCGGATATGTCCACACTACGGATGACGTTCCGGTTGCCAAATTTGGTTAATGATTAATGACGGCATTGCGGCGTCATGATTTGAATGCTTAATAACAGCATCTGGGAACAAAAACATGCCCTGGTGTTAATTTGTTTTTATTTTGTGATTCGCATGTGTCACTAACCTTCCCCAGTTGTTTTTGTTTTCGCAATCAACACATTGCGTTTATAGTATTTTGATCAGTTTATCTATTTGCTAGTACACTTAATGTGGTGGTGCGAATGTGCAAAGAGTTCCACATTAGTTAACACTATTCACTGAAAACTACACGTTTCCAAAACTATCGCTTTCACTAATCAATTTGACCAAATACTATAATTGTTCTTTTTTCGCACAGGGCGCTCTTCTTCCTGTGCATCACACCAAATATTTTGAACGGTTTTCATGTGTCCTCCTACACAATACTCGGGCATTTACCCGACGATCAATGGTGCGGCATCGACGACTTGGATCGCTCCAACTGGACACTAGCTCAAAAGCGCAGCATAGCCGAGCGCGAGCTGAAATCGGGTGGCTGCACCGTCTGGGATTGGGACTACAAGGAATTGAGTCGAATGTCCTATGATGCGGCGCTCAACTACACCAACCACATGGCCGAGATCAATCAGCCTTCTATAGTATCCTGTAAAGTGAAGGGCAACTACGAGTATGCTCACCCAGAAAGTACTTTTGTGGCGGACTGGGAGCTGACCTGCGATAGAAGCATACAACGCACCTCAGCACAGGTTGCCATATCGCTGGGGAAGTTTTGTGGTTCCTTTTCCTTTGGAATTTTGGCTGACAAGTGAGTGTAGATCATTCAAAACTTGTATGTGCGATGACTTATTAATAAAATGAATGGCATTATTGTCAGGTTTGGACGCAAAACCGCATTTACACTTGGGGCCGCCTTCTTTTTAGTGGGCAGCTTCTTTTGCACATTTTCTCCCTGGTACAGTCTTTTCCTGATTGGACGTTTTACCTTAGGTGCTGCTTCATCTGGCTTGTTCTACCCTGCTTTTACGATGAGTAAATTAAATAAAACATGAATTTTATTTCTATTAAAAAAATCCATTTTCCACTAGTTGTTGAAAACATTTGCCTGAAGCATCGTTCCTGGATGTCAATTGCTTTCTCGGCCTCCTATCCTGTTGGCATGATTTTGTTAGCCATTGCCGGCTACCTCATACAACCCTGGCGCTATTTGCAGCTAGCTCTCAGCATTCCAGCATTACTCCTCATACTTAACTGCTAGTAAGTCAAACCTCATATAAGTAGCCCATATACAGCTTTGTTCACCCACGTCATGCTTATCTTTGGCAGCTTGATGGATGAATCGCCGCGTTGGCTCATTACGAAGCAGCGGTATGAGCGCGTCTATCGGATTCTGTTTAAGCAGCCTAGCCACTATGAGGTAGAGGGAGCATCGCCAGTTTCCAACGTGAAAGAAATCGTCACCGATAAGAAGCCGGTAAGTACCCAGCTTCGAGATTAAGCTCAAAGGACTAAATAATTCGTGTTTTCATAATTGGGGGATATGTTTCCATTGTAACTTTGTGGGAACTGATACATCATACAAATAACTAATATTTTTTCGTATTTTTCGACGATAAATTTCTTAAAAATAAAAATGTAAAACAATTATTACCCAATACCAAAGTTGATAGAGAATATTAGCCATAAAGCCAATTTGTTGTCAGCGATTTCTCTGGGTATGGTTAAAACTCGCGAGTTGTGTTGGGAGGTACAGGTAGAGATAGATAATTGTAATTTGAACACAGAACTCGACGATTGTACAAAGCGTAGTCTCTCCATCTGTCCATCTATATAAGAGTGAAGTATGAATCGATCTGATGATTTATAAGCTACAGATACCAGAAGCATGGGCGCCAAAGTTTTCAAAGAACGAGTTAACGTTTTGAAATTGAATTTTCAGCGAGGATATATTTTATATCTGTTAGATATTAATATAGGTGTAGAGATAGAGCAGTAAGAATATTCTGGTAGAATTAGACGGGAAGACCTACTGGCAGCTGTGCTTGACATAGCCAAGATGAAGTATTCTGTTTTAAAACTAGAAAGGAATGCTAAGGTCGAACTCTTAAATACCCTGTACCACCCTACCAAAAAAAAAAAAAAAAAATGAATTAAAAAAATGTAATTATTTTAATAAAAAATAAAAAATTTTATTAATTAATTTAATATCCTTGGGTCTAACCGCAAACTTATTATAATTTAGTATTTCAAACATGTAATTCAAACATAAATTACAAGTTTGTATTTAATAATACAATACATTGGTTCGTTTTGTTGGTTTTTCCAATAAACAAGTTTCTGTTAGGAGTTTCGTCTGATCCACATCAGTATTGGGCAATATACTTGTACTTAAAGTAGGAAAATCTAAAGTTTGTTAAAAATATTGAATTCAAATTTACTTTTAGCACATGCAACAAAGACAAATACAAATACTATAACAAACTCCGGTTTTATGTCTGAAGCTTCGTAAACATTGATTGAAATAAAACACTACTGAAATAATTGCATGTTTTCCCATCTGACGTCTAAATGCAGTGTTAAATTTTTTTTCATTATTATTCCGCTCTCAACGGAAAAGGACATTGTAGAGCGTTTCAATTGTGGGTCTTATTTAAGTTATACTACTATCCATATTTTTCAATATAGTACCATTTTTGAGAACAAATCATAATATGAAGAATTTGAGGACCCGATAACAAAGCAAACAAACAGAAATGTATTTATGCGATTTGCCTGCAAGATTGTGATCATAATTGCATTGTCTATGCCCCATTTGCAGCTGGAGCCGGAAGAAGATGTCTCACTGTGGCAGAAAGTAAAAACTGGCCCGCTACATTCTCTCATCGAGCTCTATGCATCTCCCAAAGTACGAAAGCTGATCTTTACGTCCTACTTCATGTTCTGTGTCACATCGCTAAGCTATTACGTGACGGGTAAGTAAAACAAGTGCCGAGCACTAGTCCGTTCCCTAAACTCTGTTTTTCATTTTGCAGCTCTCAATGCTGCGAACCTCTCGGTCAGTCGCTATCTATATCTGATCATTACGGGTATTGTAGATATTCCCTCTTATCTCCTGCCCGTTGTGATGCTACGCTTCACGGGGCGACGCATCACCACAATGTTCCTATTCATGTTGACCGGAATTTCGCTATTGCTGGTATTGGCCGTGCCGGCAGGCAGCACCACATGGATAGTTTCGTTTGCCATGCTCGGTCGGTTTGGCATCAGCGCCACTTATTCTGTTGTTACATTATATACGGCGGAGTTGTATCCCACTGAGATCCGCAACTCGGCGCTCGGCACCTGCTCAACGTGGGCGCATGTTGGTTCCATTTCGGCGCCCTATGTAGTCGATGTTTTGGGTCAAAACTTCGGCTGGTACATTCCAACAACAATATGCGGCTGCTGCGTTCTAGTAGCAGGTCTGCTTACTCTGACACTGCCCGAGACGGGAACGGGAAAACTCTCCGATCGAATCGAGGATACGTCTGCCAATGAAACGGCAATCGTTAAATCGTCAACCGAAAAGCCTGAAATGTAGCAGTTTACAAATTCGTAGATATAGGGGCCAGCTAGTGGGCCAACCTGCTTTGTTAGCATCGTTAGAAACATGTAGTAATCATGTTGTAATACACTTAAGTGCAGTACTGTAGTCTGAGTTTTCGTACTCGTACTATGTTTTGTATATCATGTTCGTAATTGTTCTCTATTTAATTCGTATAATGAATAAATTATATACACTTGACATCAGGTCTTAATCAGGAACTGCACCCAATCGTAGTATGGGCGAGTCACCGTATAGATGCTGGGCATACCTTTGATGCCGCACGTGAGACCATGAGATACCAGACCGAAGATGTAGTCGCGTCCGCCATAGGAACATATGAGTGGACCACCCGAGTCCCCCTGGCATGAGTCTTGATGGCTGTTGTAGCCCACAGCGCAGACGGTGTTTGCTCCATTCTGTGGAGCCCAAACATGGCCAATAATCTTGCGACACTCCTGGTTTCCAATGATCCGTACTTCCGCTTCCAAGAGCTTTTCCTGAGAAGGACCACCGTGCTGGATGGCACCATATCCAATAATACGACATGGCTCTGCAATAGACAGTGGCGTTAAAAGAGAGCATTATTGCCGATTATTATACTTGCCATTATCATCCGCCTCCATGCCTTGTGGCGGCAGCCGGGCAAATTGTAAACTACTCTTCAAATCGGTTAAATAAGGCCGGTTCATGTAGAGGAGAGCGATGTCGTTGCGGTTATTCGACCTAATTAAATTAAATTACACATTAATCACCTTTTAACATAGTAGGAACCACCACATCATTAAAAGTTGTATAAAAAAATTCCTAACAAAGGGCCGTACGGCGATAAAACTCCGGTTTCTGTCAAACTAAAGACCAAACATAGGTAGTTCATGTTTTGTTAAAAAAAAAAAAAACAAGATAGAACGCTACAGTCAAGCAAGACCGTAAAATATCCTGTACTCTCCACAAAAAAGGAAAAATAAAAAAAAATTATTTAAAAAAATTTAATTAATAAACAGACGGACAGACATACGGACATGGCTATATCGGCACGGCTATTCACCCTGATCAAGAATATATATATACTTTTTGGGGTCTACCACGCCTCCTTCTGTGTGTTACATACATTCGCACAAAACTACTATACCTTTTCACCCTTTGCGTACAGGGTATGAAAAAAAAACAAGTACATATGTGTAAAATATTAAATAAAATTTATAAACTAAAAAAATAGACAAAATTGTAATATTACAAAAATTGGTTGTTGATCGATTGTATCCCCTTGGGTACTCGAACTCACGTAAAGGGTGTATAAATGTACTTGTACATTTTTATAGAAATTGTGTCTATGCGTGTTTCTGCATGTGAACATCTTGGACTAAAATTTTCTGTTATTAGTTTCAGAGATATATGTAGACTTTTACACATACGGCTTTTCCGAAAATCCCCTATAAGGGGGGCAGTGGGTTCACCTCCTTCCCCTTCCAAATATATAAACAAGAGAGAACGCTACAGTCGAGCAAGCCCGACAGTGTAATACCCTGTACCCAGGTAAACTTCCGTCACTGAGTTATATGCGCCCAAAGCAGCAGCAAAAAAGAGGAAGAAGAAGAGCGAACTTGTTGCTGCAGTTTGGGGGTGTTGTACTGGCCAGAATTTGTTTCGCTAATAACTTTTCTTAGAATTGACCGAATTGGATAAAATTTTTGGTTTAGGTAGCATTTGAAATGTGGACGCTATTGGCAAAATTCTGTAGCGGGGGGAAATTAAAAAAAAAATAATAAACTCGTCCTTTCTCGGACCTAGGAAAATCTGGCTGCCAACTTTGGTTATTCTAGCTTTTATAGTTTCTGAGATCCTTGCGTTCATCTAGACGGACGGACGGACATGTCTAGATCGATTTCTCTCGTCATGCTGATTCAGAATATATATACTTTATGGGGTCGGAGATGCTTCCTTCTGCATGTTACATACTTTGCACAAACATAATATACCCTTTTTACCCTACGGGTACAGGGTATAAAAATATAAAATAAAAGTAACCGGTATAGCTTGTGTAAAAAATTTGGAGTATCTATATATCTCTTATAGTCTCTGAGATGCAGGTGTTCATACGGACGAACAGACAGGCAGACAGGGCTAGATCGATTCATCTTGTTATGCTGATCAAGAATATATATACTTCATGAGGTCTGTCACACCTCCTTCTGTGTGTTATATTTTTTACCTCCCGTAAATCTAATATAGTACTCTTGTACATATCATGTACAGAGTATAAAAATGCTGCCCATTAGCATTGATCTTTATGGATAATACTTGTAACAATTCTAAGGCCATATTTATACCCTTCACCGAAAACTGTAAGAATATCGTTATTAATGGTACAATATAAAAGAAAGCTCTCGAAGGAGGAGACTTCTTAATATTCAGGTAACTCTTACAACAATGAGAGTTATGAGCCGTTATGAGGATCTTCTTTCGTTTCTATACCAATGATCAATCGGGGTTTTGAGCAATCAGTTTTTCCTGAGAAAGTTCGGTTATCTCCGAGATGATGCGTGGTATTAAGTATTAACCTGATCCGTGTTCTACGATCTTCTATTTGTCTGAACATTTTACAAAAGTTTTGCATACAAGGCAGCGTCCTGTTCACATTTAATAACTTACTGGATTAATTTGCTTATGATCGAAAGTTTCTTTCTTGATTAACACCTCTATGATCCAATTTATTAATTACCGTGCACCAAAGCCAGAATTGCCTTAAAAGCTTTTCGCACGTCAGTAAAAGTCTTTGTGTTGTTGGCATTGGTTTCAAAAGGCTTCCTATGCGGATTTGGCGCCTTTCGAAAGATTATCATAGATTATTTACATCTAATAAATAAGAGTAATATTGAAAATATAAAACACATTTTATCCGACATTGCCTCATCTAAAGGTACGGGTCCGATTTTAAAATAAATCGTCATATTTTGTTGTTGTCAGTTTGCAATTTCAATGGTAATGCCATCTGTCTTCTAGCATTGAAGTCAACAAACTTTACTGAATTGGCTGTCAATGTGCGTTAACTTACGGTTGGAAGTATATGTACTCAACGCTTTCCAGACCATAGGGCTCAAGCATATTCACATTCTCGATATTTTCATAGCCAATAAATGCCACTATATGTTCAATTTTTCTAGTGGAAAAAGTGTTTGTGGTAAACAAATTCAATTAAACCTTATAATCGATTCTAATGCTTACTTCCTCCACACACAGTGCGCCGCTGTCAGTATCCAACGCCCATTAATTAAACTGCCTCCGCAGAAATGACGAAGAGTCTGGGTGGTATTCATGGGTGTTCCGAAGATGGCATCTTGCAAGGAGACCATAAAAGGGTATTTGCTAATGCTGCCTGCAAGGAGAAAGCGATTTCACTCAAGTTAAACTACCAAGAAAGGAAGAGGTCTCTTAATACTGCCCACGCTTGACACGATGCGTCCGCCAACAATTGGCACTGCATTGCTAGGATCGACCTGGAGCGCTACGACCACACTAAATAGAAGACCGAACAGTGAGTGCAAATGATAACCCTTCATGCTCGAACTTCGGCTAGATACTAAAACGTAGGCGTCACCTATTCCAATTGAGCAACTCTCAGCGAATAGGTACATTATTCATTTTAGATCAAGAAGCGTGCACAAATGGCACGACAAGCTGTGCAAATAGCTATACATACCTTCACACATAAGACTACTCCGATGTGTGAGGGTGCGTTGATGGAATGTGTTCTTAAATCTCTACGACTCAGTGTAAATGGGAGAGGAAAATATATTGGAATACTTTATATTGTACTCGTTACTTAAAAACCAAAAATGTAATACTGTATTAAGGTTTTATTGACCTATAGTACATTCAGTTATAGTATGGGTCTTTAAGGCGGTCCCACACCTAAAAACGATACACAACACCTATATACATACATATGTATGTACATATGTACATATGTAATCCAACTGCAAAACCAAAATAGGCACTCACAGTTTGGTCGTCCTTCATACACTTCTTTCAGTTTCGTCAGAACTCAAAATTTAATAACAAATTCGAATTTGGTTCAATCCTAAACAATCTGTCTTAATTTGTTATGGGCTTGTTTTTGTCCCGAAAATGTTTTAAGACAAAACAGGAAGTTTTGTATTTAAGACCAAAACAAAGATGCACGTGCACACATATGTATGTATGTATGTACATATTTCCATTTTTCTATAACCAATATTACCATTTTGATCTTTTTCATTAGAAATAGTTTCGTTGAACAATTTGTAACATACATATTTATAGTATTAAATGCAGTACGAACTTGGTAATCGCAACTAACGAACTGTTGCACATACTACGTAAAATTTATATCTTGAAAAATGTTAAATGAAAAACTCTTATGACGCTTTTTTTATACCCTGTACCCGTAGGGTAAAAAGGGTATATTAGGTTTGTGCAAAGTATGTAACATGCAGAAGGAAGCATCTCCGACCCCATAAAGTATATATATTCTGAATCAGTATGACGAGAGAAATCGATCTAGACATGTCCGTCCGTCCGTCCGTCTGTCCGTCCGTCTGGATGAACGCAAGGATCTCAGAAACTATAAAAGCTAGAATAACCAAAGTTGGCATCCAGATTCTCCTAGGTCCGAGAAAGGACGAGTTTATTTTATTTTTTGGAATTCCCCCCCCCCCCCCCCCCCCCCCCCCTTCCCTCGCTACAGAATTTCGTCAATAGCGTCCACATTTCAAATGCTACCTAAATCAAACTTTGCACACATAATTTTTATATAATTGTCTATTGTTGTTTAATTTTATATAATTCGGCCAATTCTAAGAAAAGTTATTAGCGAAACAAATTCTGGCCAGTACAACACCCCCAAACTGCAGCAACAAGTTCGCTCTTCTTCTTCCTCTTTTTGCTGCTGCTTTGGGCTCATATAACTCAGTAACGGAAGTTTACCTGGGTACAGCGTATTCCATTGTCGGGCTTGCTCAACTGTAGCGTTTTCCCTTGTTCTTATTAAGGCTTTTAACAACAGCACAATGTTATGTTTTATAGAGTTTGCAAAATCGAATTGCATGCATCGAGTGTTGTAGCTACCGTTCTGTACATCTATTGTAAAAATACTATGATGATGGAATAGGAATAAGTAAATAATAAATTTATTTATTTCCGTTAGAATTGAACAGTACGAATTAATCTACATTTTTATACCCTATAATAGTGTAAAAAGGTATACTAGCTTAGTGCGAATGAATGTAGCACATGAAAGGAGGCGTGGCAGACCCCATATTCTCGATCATTATAACAAGGCGAGGCAATATAGCCATATCCGTCTGTCCATCCGACTGTCTGCCTTTCTGTAAATACTTGTAAGAGCAAGAATGATCAAACTTGGTATCCAGATTCTCCTAGTATCCTTCTTTTTTGAAAGAGAAATGCATGCTTGATTTCTTTCCATACTTTGCAATAATTAATTTATTTGGAAATTCTATTAGAAAATTTTGATATAAAAATAAAGCTATTAGGTTGTTCGACGTATGTAGATATCATTTTCCATAACTTTCTGTCATAATTATAAGAAAAAATTTTCAGAAGCTTTCGATTTTTGGACTAAATAAGCAACACACAAATATTGATAAGTTGAAACATGCTGATTATTGTATATAACATGTTACAAACGTAAAATTAAAATAGTTTTCAAATGTTTTTTGTGGTTTTGGGCCAGTATAATTTAGCACAAGGTCTGGCAGCGCCGTAAAAAGTAAAGAAATACCTTATCGTCAGTGAACAGTATTCCAAGCTTAACGGGATAAAATCACGAATCATATATACATATGTATATGTATGTACATTGTACACACATATATCATACATATTCTTATATTCTATTCTTATAAAAACAGGTACAATAACAAAATTAATATTTAAGAAAACATGATTTTTAGTATTTTCAGCAGTAGTATTTTCCTTCTCCACAGTTCATGAAATAAAATCGATTATACATCGACTATATATCGATTTACAAGTAACCTAATCTGTATATCGTTAGCACCACCCTAGTATTTTTTATTAAAGAAAACACAACCTACTATATTTCCAGTGAATTAAAGGGTAAATTTGGTTGTTAAATAGGCCAGGTCTCCATATAAACCAAAAAGGTAAGACGCCCCATCCAAGCAGGCCATCGGTGTGGTAGCAAAATTATGACTAATCTTGTTCGGTCCTGGTTTTTATTAATTTGAATTGAATGTGGCACTTTTTGACAATTGTGAATTTGTAAAATGATTACTGTTAACCAAGTGTTTCGTACCCTGCAAAATGAGTTTATCAGCACAATTTCGGATTTTTTCAGAGGCACAATGTCACAAGGCGGTGGCACACCAGCGGCTGGCAATGCAACAACAACTTTACAGAGCGGCGGTGGTGGTGTGGGCTTTAGCAAGCTGTTTATTCAACGTGACTATAGCGAGGGAACATCCGTAAGATTCCATACTAGGCTTCCCACAGAGCTAGAAGGATTGGTACGCGGATCTACGTACTTCGATGGCAATTGTGCATATAATTTGATATAATGTGCATTTTCAGATCGAACGATCAGTCTTCGAGGCTACTATAACTAGGCTTAATGAATTCTACGCTGAAGCGGAAGAGGGGTCCTGCGGAACATACTGTGAGGGCTGCATAGGCTGCATTACGGCGTACTTAATATATATGTGCTCCGAAACGCATTATGAGAAGGTTGGTTCGAATCGTGAAAATGCAAGAAAATGTGCACTAAATGCTTTAATTTCCTTTTTTCACAGACACTGCGTAAGATTTCCAAATTTGTTGCTTCCCAAAACGAGCGCATTTATAATCCAAAGGGCTTACAACTTATCGATCCAACATATCGCGGACTTCGAGTCATAGAAATTACTATATTTGATCGACCTGGGAGGACGTGACTTCCACTGTCCCATTCGACCGAGGAATTTTTCATGTGAGACACCCACATCAGTGAACAAGATGAATAGATCCACAAGTTAGAAGCAAAAAGTTAAAGCCATATGTGAGTTTCCACTGAAGCATAATCCTTAACGTGATATATCCGCGTGCAAGGAGCTTGACAGTACGGTGCCACTCATATTTCGGCGTGTGACTTAGTCATAACTATGTATGTTTAAATCCTGTTTCTGTTGCAGTCACATTCGGATATGAATACGGAAACGTTTATTTATGGGTAGTTATTAAGCAAGGAAAGTGGAATGAGTTAATTCGAGTATTTCTGCTTTAGCGGCAGAGCTTTTATAGTAGGAAGAAGATAACAAATAGCTTCTGATACTGCATTTTGAGCTAAACATTACTACATTATACTTATGTTGTTGTTCTTTTTACTTGTTTCACAAAACGATCGAGATATGTTTTAATTGTAATAGTACGCAACTTAACATTTTATTTTGTGTTGATATAGTTTTTAAATTTGTAATGCAGTTGAGCTTTACGCATATTTAATCAAAACTTTCGTGTTTTATGCAAATACTTAAGAATAGCACGTGCATAAATAATAATAATAATATACATATACATACACACATGAACAGGAAAGTGTATAAATTCATAGAATTTTATATACACATTATGATCAATTTAAAAAGCGCCAAATGATTAACGTACGTAAATCATATTAAATTTAATAAAGTCAGTTTTACGAATGTATGCTAAAAACAATTCTTTATCTATGAACAAAGCCGAGTTATAAAGGTATTCATTCTTCAATTGCATTTGCCGGGAGAATTGCAACTGCGTCTATGACAATTAGATTAGCGCAAAATTAGTAAGCAACGCTTTGGATTTGCTGCTCTGCACTCCAATAATCCCTACCCACTCGGTGAGATTGGTGGCAACTGAAACTTGCTACTTTCTTCTTGAAACTATTGTAGCAAGAAGTGGCCGAAAATACTGACCGAATCCATTAATAATTAAATTCTCTGTCTGTCATTTATCCGCAGATTCGGTGTTATTCTTTAAGGAATGTTCAATGGGTCTTTGAACAGTTCCATGGATCCGGATAAAATGGTAACTGAAAATGGCACATGGATCTTCGAATCAACAGGATTCTCCAATTTACATTGGTATGTGGGTATCATAACACTACTGTTATCGTTTTGAAACCCTTTTACAGTCAACAAAACCAAAATTTCAGGATCAGTTTCTTTTCAGCAACTGTTTTCAAAATTGGGGCCTGGCATAGCTCAACGAGCTAGCAGGAATTCCACAATGTGAGTTCATTCCTTGAGTAGGCACTCGGTTCGAATCACGCCGAATTGTCAAAATTTTATCATATTTAATAATTGTCCAACCTAGGACAGATCTTGAATAAAGATGAATGGTTAATGTTTTAATATGATATATATTTTAATGTGGATAAAAAGACTTTGTATATTCTGTACTTAAAAGGTACAAGAGTATATTAGGTTTGCGGCGGAAAATGTAACAGGCAGAAGGAAGCGTGACCCCACAAAATAACATGTCGAGACGATTATGACGTGTATGCCTGCTTGTTCGTGCCTAAGTAGATATCACAGACTATAAGAGACAGAGGCACAAAATTTTGTATACGGGTGTATTATAGTATGAATACGCAGTACACGTGTAGTTCAACATTCAACACACTTTACGTGAGTTCGAAATCCGAACGTTGTCTAATCGATCAAAAAAATGGTGTATACCCTGTACATAAAATGTATGCTAGTTTAGTGCGTAAGTAACGTTCAGAAGGAGGCGTGGAAGACCCTGCATTCTTAATCAGGACAAGACAAATCAATATATGTCCATCCATTCGTCTCTCCATCTGCCTGTCTGAATGAATGCAAGGATCTCTGAAAGTATAAGAGCTGAATGGCCAAACTTGTTTTCCAGATTCTTCTAACATCGACAAAGAACGAGCCAAAGCTTATGTACCTGCGCTTATGTGAAATTTCATTAAGATAGGTTAATCTTTAAGGAAGTTATATCCATAAATGTAATTTTTGACCAAGCTCTGCCATTAGGAAGTGTTGTTTTAATGCTTCCTTTATGATGTCATTCGATTGTAAAACTCTCAGCAATTTTTCGGTAGCCCAACTATTCGATCAAAGTATGATAAATTGATGTTTTGGAAAGGCTAAATACACTTTCATTTAATTTCAATAAAGATTTTGGCTGATGTTTGATTAATTTGAGCTTTGAACTATAAATAATCACCATAAACTTCGATTATCAATTAAAACGTTTCGACATTGTTTTGTGCACATTTTTTCACCGATGGCACTACAAGGAAATGGCCTATTTCAAAAGTCCTGTTTACTTTGGAAAGCAACTTGTAAGCATAATATACTCGCATGTACCAATATACTTGTACTTATACGTTGATATTTATCGTTTGTTTTACAAAGTTGCTGACAAAGAGCGTTAATTAATTGAGATCACGCAGAATTCCCTTAAAACATTAAAAAGAACACAGGAGAGGGGGAAAAAATATTGCATAATAAATCAATATATTTTTTTAAAAATTTCCATTCTCAAAGCTCTGAACCTTTTTTTGCAAAGTACTTTGCATTCTTGAACGCGATTTTTGTTTAATATTTCTTTTTTACCCAGTAACTAAAGCCTAGTGCGAATTTATGTAACAGGTCTTAGTACGAATCAGACATCATATGAGCTGAATATATAGAGGCATGCATATCTATAGGTCTTCAGATATTGGGAAGTATAAGAGCTAGAATATTCAAATTGGTTTTTTTTAATTGCTTTCTTGAAGTTAAAACAATTGAAATATCACGAACTCGGCACCATTTAACTTCTTTTGTTTTTGGAATAGTCCTCTGGTAACATCTAGTTTAAATGAATTTGGATGCACTCATAGATTCAACACATATGTGTGTATGCATAGGTATACCAGTAGATACATATGTACATGTGCATGAAACCTTTGCAAATCAAAATTGAATTCACCAAATAACACGTTCATGTTTTGATCCTGTAGATCGTACAGTGTATACTTGCTATTTATTGTAAATATAATATCTTAAGCGATATACATAAATGTGCACTCTTTAACTGATTATCAACTCCTGCTGAATTTAATTCGGCAGAGCTCAAAGAATGCGCAAAACAAAACAAAAGCAAACAAGAAAAACCGATCAAACACTTTCCACGAATGTGCATCCGAAGTAGTCCAGTCCATTTCGATCCCTTGCAGCGTCAGCAAAATCTTTTTACTTGCCCGCGTCGTTCATGTTCTTGGGCAGGCTTAAGAGCGAGTTGATCAGCTCTGAGTTCCGCTTTGGCATTGGCCCTCTCAGCGAGTTGGCGAAAAAGTAAGGATACTTGCAGAGATTTCCTAGCTGTTGGGGTGCATACTGCACGGCATTTAGCAAGTTGATCAGCTCCCGGTTGTATTCCTTCTCCACATAGCGTTCCTCGTCGGGCGAGGGCAGGGCTAATGAGCTTGGAAGCATGGCGGCCACCGCCAGGAGGGAAAGAGCCATAGCCAGAGCGTAGCGAGCCATTTTGTCAGCGATAGCGGTTAGTGCTAGCGTCAGAGGAGTAACAGATTGCGAATGAGCTGCCGACAGGCCCTGCAGCCATTTTATATATCGACGAAATGCATGGATGCTTAGGTAAATCACAGCGGGAGCACAACGTCGGTGTCAGTTTCACGACAGCGATGTCAGACGCAGGCAAATAATCGGGAATGGTCCGTGGCAAATATTTGATTATGCAGCGTTTTATGTGCGTCCCACAAAGCTAACAGAAACAGACGATGAGCGAGGATTTGCAAGGACCTGCTCTATTTGCTTTGGCGTGTGCCCACTATATATATTTTATATATACACACATATGCAGATACATTCATATACACATACATACAGTTGTACGTACATTTACGTATGCGTATATGTGTCAACTTTTCGGGCTGCCTTATTCTGATTAATTTTAGACTAACTGCCATAAAAATAATACACGGTCTATATTGGGCTCCAAATTTTACGACCCTCTGACTATTCAATGTCAACATATGTATGTATGTACATACATATGTTCATATTTATGAATAAGTAAAGACATAACATCAATGCACATACATACATACCCATGCTAGTATGAAGGACACTCCCGCACTCTGTTAAAATAAGTGACATTCAAACACAAATATTGTTATATATACTTGTATAGTATGCATATCTACGTACATATGTGTATATGTACTTCTAAATGAAATTCAATATACAAATATGCTTGATTACACAAACTACAAAATTGTGCAATATGTGAGGTTATGTATAAAGATTGGAAAATGCGATTATGCATAATTTGGATTAATGTTAGTTATGCATGTACAGTAAAAACTCTTTTGGCCAGACACTTATCGTTGGCCTCCCTTGATGCGGGTAAAGGGAGTGTGACATTTTTATACCCTGTACCCAAGGGGTCAGGGAGGGCGCAGCAGACCCCACAAAGTATTCTTCTTGATCAGTATGATAAGGCAGCCTATAAAGTATGACAAGAAAGGAATGCTGAAGTCGAGCAGGCTCAACTCTTAAATACCCTGTACCACCCCACAAAAAAAGAAATTAATTAATTAAATTAAATTAATTAATTAATTAAATTAAATATAAAATATTCCATACATGCATACAAACACTTACATCAGAATCGTGTCTATTCGTGTTGGTGTACTTGTACATATGTATGTATGTAGGCGTGGCAGACCCCACAAAGCATATATATACTTATAAATTCTTGATAAGCATGATGGGGGGGGGGGGGGTATGACGGCCCCCCATGCTTCCTGCCTACACCCTTGACTGTTCATGTTGCAATTTTTGCTGTTTGGTATTTTTATACGGGTGTTTAAAATTGTACTTAAAATAAAACTGAACGTGATGACATAAAGCGTTATGTAATGGCGTAATTTCAGTTAGAAATTCCAAGATTTATGTATGTTATGGAAAATAGCGAAAAGTGTGGGAAAAACGCAACCTCGTCCTTAGGATATTCTAAATACACAGTTTGGTTATTCTAGCTTTTATACTTTCTGAGATCCTTGCGCTCATACAGACGGACGGACAGCAGACACGACTTGTCACCTTAATCAATATATATGCCACGCCTCCATCTGTGTGTTACATACATTCGCAGAAAACTATTAAACCCTTTTACCCCTTGGATACAGAGTATAAGTTCAAAAACCGTCTCATCAATTTCATCAGTTTGCAATCCGAAATCGTAAAACTACACACTTTTCATTTAATTGTAATAAAATATACCATGAAATAGAAAACGCTGGCGGGAGCAAATCAGTTTTACAGGCGATGCATTTTCATGGCAGCTTTAGCTCCTCAAGATCCACTGGTGCACGGCTCTAGAGCTCCTATGAAGATGCTTCGCCTGGCAACGGATGCAGCTACCATTATGGGATGTTTAGTATGCATAAAAACAACTGGAACTGGATAAGCTGGAGTCTGTCGAACTTGGACAAAGGTCGGGGCCGCGGTATGGGGGTTTTCGGCTGGCTCTCAAGCGCTCCCATAGGGGGCAGAGAAACGCGTTGCTGCTGTCAGTGCTGCTCCCGCTGCTCTCGCTGCTCTTTGCCTGCAGCTGAGTCTTGTGCTTGCCGAAGGAGCAGCGCATACGTTTGAGAAGCAAGCGCAGCACCTTCGGCGATCTCTTGTCCTTGCAGGTGGGTAGCGGCACGGCAGCAGGAGGCGATCTCGGTATCGGTTCATGTTGCGAGCATGGAGAACACGACGGTGGATTCAGTGGTTTCTGCAGCCCTTCCAGGGCACGTTTCAAGTTGCGGCGTAGACTTTTGTACTGTTCCGCCTGCTCACGGCTGCGCTGAAGCGATGAGGCAAATGGATCCTTCACACTGGGATATATTTCTACTGCACTGGGATGCGTATATACGTGAGCTTGCCGATGCATTATTGGGGGCTGTGGGGCTTGTTGTTTCTTTCTCTTGCGACGAGGCGGTGCCGGCGGCTGCGGCGATGGAGGCGGAGCTGGTAGCTCAGTTTGCGGCGGCACTTCCATGACAAGTTGCAAGCAGGGCTTGGCACTCTTGTGCAGATGCACGCTGCAATATTACGATTTTCAAAAGGCTACTGTACTACAGACTTGAGCCACTTACCCGATCACCAGCAGCAGCAAATTGTAGACGGGCAGTGCGATTAGCATCAGTTGGAGTAGACGCATAAATGGACATCGGGTATGCACCTGGAAGATCGTCAATAGGTGCCAGCCATGATTGCACAGCTTCTGCTGCCATAGCCTCAGCTGCGCCGTTGCCACTGAGCTGTTGTTCGTGTCCTGCCGGTCTTCAGAGGTCAGTTTCATTGAGTGATTGCTCACGGCCCAATAATAAGCGAAGGCTGCTGCCGCCAGCAAAGAGCCGATTAGGCGACATCGTATACGCGGCATAGCGAACATACGAGTACATCAGAAATCGGAGAGTGTTTGTTTGGCTTAATTTTTATTGTGAAATCAAACAAAAGTAAACGGGGCACGCCTACTCCCGCTTTGGTTTGCTCTGGCAAACAAAGTCATAGTCATAGGATTGTGGCATAGGGGTAATGCTGTTTGGACAGTAGCAGTCGACCCAGGTGGATGCGTGAATGGGCATGGGCATGGGCATGGGCATGATTGTGGCCGTCACATAGTTGCCGTCACAGTCCGGTACGCAGTCGCTAAGATGAATAAAGTTGATGTGGAATACTATTTTATCTACAAGTATGTATTAATTAGTAACTGCGATTGCTATTTTGCAGTAGAATGCAAGCAGAGAAGAGGTTCAACATTAAATTCCTTGTTTCCTAGCTGCGTTATATTCCTTTAAAGGAACTCTTTTTCCATGCGACTTGACTTTCATGCATGGGCCAACGCTTGAAAGTAAGTTAATAGCAATTACAATTAATGTCCTATATCCCACCAGGGACTACTACCTCATATCCCTACTCACCTGTATTCCGGTTCTACACGTCGCAGCGAGCAGCGCAGTTGATGGGCTAGACAGATTGCTGGGAGAAACAAAAGCGCCGCTGGTAGCAGAGCGAGCCAAATGCCATTCTACCAGATTCGGAGAGAGGTAAGATAGTGCGGCACTCTTGTAGTTTCGAAGCACTTACCGTAGGCTTAGCTATACCGTTGCATTCATCGCCCCCTCCACCGCCACGTATGCGGGTCTCATTTTTTACGACTTCGGCGCGCCAAGTAAAATTTGAGAGCTTCGAGCAGGTGTCCAGATCGTTATTGAGGGCGGAGTTGGCCTTGTTTACATAGTTCTTCTTGTGCTCATCAATTTGCTTAATGAGATTGTGGATGTTCCCATCTATGCGATGCGTGGCGTTGTGTTTTAGATAGTCCTCTGTGCGTTTAATATCTTTGACCATATCCATTAAACGATCTTTGAAGCTACCCTTATCGTTCAGCAGGATCTTGTCGATTTGATGCAATATATTGAGCATTTCGTGAATAATTTTAGCCAGCGGCACGCCAAGATGCTCGTGAAAAGCACGCAGATGAGTGGCTTGGTTGTGGATAGTGGGCTTTACGGTTTTATCTTTAGGCTCTTTAATATGATTGGCCATATCGTCCAGACCTTGGCTTATCCCCGGTAGTGGTCGTGGCACCAACTCCTTGCATATGTGCTTCGTGTAGTTTTTGCTGTTATAATGTGAGAGGTTGCTTTTAAGCAACTCATGCATGATCTTGTCGGCCTCTGGGTAGATGGACACGGCGTTCAAAGTTCCAGAAAGTGGTGAGCTTTTAATTTTCTTGGCTGCGTCGTGCAAGTTCTTCATAAGCTGATCATGCATTCCTCGCGCATTGTACACTTTCTCCAGCTGCATTATTTTGAAGAGGCTTTCATTCTTTTTGCAGCGCTCGAGGACGTCGTCTATGTTTAGTTTGGGAAGCTCTTGGGTTCGACTGAACTTGCGTGGTAGGTGCAGGTTTAGATCAAGAGTCTTGTTACTCGAAGTCTCACTTTCCTGTCTGTGGGAATACAAGTAATCAATTATGTACCAGGTGAAGTAATTTAGTAGCATATATCCGTATTCGTAGGGGCTACGACTGCCACCTTCTTTCGAAAAATAAATCGCACAATGTATCTAGCCCGCAAGAATTATTCCTTGTTCCTCTCAAACTAAGGAACTGAAAAAGGAGACTTCGTTTAACTTTACATATATTTAGAGAATAGTGGCATTCGTGTATATCTTAATAATATTGATATTCGTTAAAAAAAGGTATACCAATATTGACGTTTGGTTTAAGATTTAAGAACGCTCCACTGAAGCCTGAGTAGAGTACTAGAAATAGGATTGGCTATTTTTTTTTTTTTTAACGACTAGGGACTTACGAGCTGCAGCTTGACTGATACAGCAGTGCGCCGTGCACAAGGTAGAACAGGACGAGAATCATGGCAAGCACAAAAAACACAAACAAGGCCACAATAGCGGCACAAAGCAAACGCGAACCAACTCGGCTGCTACAGCAGCTGACCAGAAGGGCCACCAGTAGAAGCAATGGTGCCTGCAAAATGGGTGGCGTTAATAACACAGTATTGACCATCTATTACCATCTAACCAGTAATACTAAAAGAATCAGCACAATCATTGTGGCATACCAATATTTTCCAAGCTTCTTTGTAAACTTCGAAACGGAGCGAGGGGCCAGCTGTTTCTTTGATGTTTCCTCTTCCGAAGTTGTTATTTTTGGAGTCGTCCGTTTCGATACTATGTTTTTCTTTATGAGGCAGGCGAATTAGGGATTATAAAAAGTTAATGGATTTGCTTATACTTACAATTCTATTAGAAGGATGCATTTCATCTATAGTCTTGTCTAGCAGGGTCTTTGCCGTCCCATGCTTATGATTCAGCTCGTGCGCTGGGGGCAAACTCAATTGTTATCGAAGTCCCGAGAGATCACAGTCAAAGGGCTTACCTCCACGTCCTAGTTCCTTGTGCACTGCATCGTGCAAAATGTTTATATGAGCCCCAATTGCCTTTTTTACCTTCTCCAATTCATGTTTGGCTCTTTGCGGATAGTTTGCAATGGACTTGCTGTGCGATATTGTCTGCATTGCCGAAATATATTCATCCCAACCAGTCATCTGGGACAGTAAGAAAATGGAAATTTAATAAAAATCAGCACCACTGCACCATTTTTACGCAGAGACTCGGAGAGTCCGAGAACCAGACTATACGGTGAAAGCGAATGTTTTAATATAGAAGTCTTAGTGAATATTTAAGTCTCGAAAAATAGCTTATTAGCCAACAAATACAAATGCTAGTGAAAAATCTGTAGGCACTAAGAACTAACTAGTCTACCAAACCAAAGATTTAGATGAACCTCTTTATTAGCACACCCATCCAGAAGTGCCTTGCCACAAACCATGTTTGTATAGCCTCATTATTTTATATACTTGTTATGAAGATATCTTAAACATATTTGGTATTTATTGGTTTTTTATAGCGAGTGGCTCACAATACTACAAGTATAATCTAAAGTTTCATCAAAATCAGTGCACCACCGAAAATCAGCCTTTGAGTTCAATACATTTTCCCGTTTGTTACGGCATACATTTTATTGGCAAAATCGGTGAACTGTGTTCTTAGCTGACAAAGAAGAGATTGGTATAGAGTATTCAAGAGTCGGGCTAGCACGACTGCAACGTTTCATAACATTTGTGAAAACCTACCGTGTCGTAGTGCAGGCAGCCCATATCGAGTGCATTTATGCGTTCATCGTTATAGAACTGCTTGCACTCGTTATGAGGACATTGAGTTGTCAGCACCACCATCAGTCGTCGCTTGACGCCACGTAAGGCTGTGTGCGAAGGGGGAAGCGTAACGAAAATATCCAGTCTATACCAGTAAGTCGGAAACCGCTGTTGGGTTCACTCACCATCACGGAACTGTATGGCGAGAAAACGAGCATCAGGCAGAAGAATTTTCAGCCTCTCAAATAGGGGCTTCAGCTTCGGCAGAACATTTTGCAGAAACTTGTTGAACTTATCAACGGATTCGAAGTTGGCTTCCCTTTCCACTTGCGATAGTGAATGCTCCGGCTCGTGCTTTAGCATATTGTTGACATCGTTTTGAAACTTTTTGTACTTGCCTACATAGTTGTGGTAGAGATGGTCCGAAGCATCTCTACTAAGGTCGGAGGCCTTGGAGTCGATCGTGATTTCGTATTCATTGCTGCTGCTGCTGTCGCTGCTGCTTGCGCTGCTTTCACTGCTGGTCCCGCTGCTGGTTCCCCGATCACAGCGACTCCGTGCGGATTTGTCTAAGCCATTGTTCAGTTTCATTGTGGCCAGGAGGGACAATATGATCCAGATACTGGATGAGTAGGTTGTCAGCATTTGGGAAGAAATGCAACGCAACAACTTACAAGATCGCCAGCAGCAGGATGCCAAGCAAGACGAACAGACAGATCCGGGCATTGCTGTTCAAAGTGTACACCCGACGACAGCGGATACAGAAAATGCAGTAGCAAATACTGAGTGTGGTTAGAATGGGGCCATGTGGTTAGCTAATTGTCCAACAAGGGCTCTGGTAAGTCAGTCTTACCCGGCAAGAGATGTCAACAGCATAAGTACTAGAAATATCAGCACAACGGCCAGAAGCCAGTGGTTCTTCGCGAAGTAATCCCGCCAATCGTCGTCACTCGCCTTATATCCTATATCCGCCTTGTCTATATAGCCTGCATCTGGCGCTTCGTCATCGCTGACCAGCAGTCCCGCTGCTTCGTTGGCCACTGAACCAAAGCTGTTCACAATTCCACCGCCCCCGCCGCGATCTAAGGGGCGGGCCCTACTATGTATACCTTCCCCATCCGATGGGGAACTGGCATACCTGCTGGCCATGCGCTCAAATTCTTGATCCGTTTGCGCATACAGTGCGCGAACTAGAATCAACCCGATAATTAGCAATACTATCATCAACATACAGCTTCCTTGGCGATCAGATTGCACAAATATATTATTAATAGTGTTTTGACTTAATTGCAAAGTCAGTGCCTGCTTGGTGAAAACAGATTTGGCATTAACTCACAGGCATTACCTATGATGCCCAATCAGGGACCAGGCCACATTTGGACCACTAGTCGTACTGACAGTACATTTGTTTGCCGGTAGACGGAGGGAGACATTTGGACTTAGGCAAGGCAGCTTCTTACGGAGTAACTTCCCTGAATCATTAATCAATGAAACTGAAAATGGTATCATATCTCAGGAACAGAAAAGTATTCATTGTGAAATGTAAACTTATGACCTTTTGGTTTTGTGAGTAACATAGTATGGATGTGTGACAGAAAAATGGTTATGTGGTTACCCATTTACAGCCATTGGTATATTTTCCATATGCAAGAGTATGTGCCAGTTGGTCAAACATTCAGTGTGAAAAAGAACAACTAAAACGATGTTGCCCTAGTAAAACCAACGGTATTTAAACATGGAGCATGTTCTGATCTTATCAAACCCAGAACGAAATGTGTTTGCCAATCGAGTCAAAGTCGTGTAATGTTTGCTTTTCAGGCTATTGTAACAGCTGCATGAGTTTCTCAATATGTAAAGAAGCTATGGAAGAAGAAATTGATATAAAAATGAAACATAATGCCCCATAACATCAGTCGGCAATCTAGAGACTTTTGGATTGAACAGCATAGCAAAATGAGGACCATTACAACTATTCTGAGCTTTGCCATTGTGGCTTCTTGCTTGGTTGCCCAGGCGTTGGCTCAGGACACCACGGTAGCGACAGACACCACGGTAGCGGCAGACACCACGGTAGCTCCAGATACCACCGCAGCCGCAACAACCACGGCTGCTGCCGGCTCTGAAACGACAACGGCCGCACCAGCAGCGACTACGTCAGCAACACCAGCCGCCAATCCACCAGCTTCCGGAGGTGGTGGCGGCGGATTAGTCATGCGACGTAGGCAGCGCAGAAGGTTCTTGAGAATCATGAGGGCTTTAAGAAGGTTGCTTAGACTGAGCAGAAGGAACAGGCGCAGGATCAACAGACGTGGTTAAATCAACGATACACTCCAAATACATCGCACCAACTAAAGTGATATAAAATAAATCACCAAATACCAGTCATCCAATAAACAACTACCCCTTGCTTAACACGGGCACTAGGTTCCTAGAAAATCTGTTCCATAACTAGACATGAGCCCAATACAAAATATGGGATAACGTTCCTCAATTACAACACAAAAAAAAATAAAAAAAAAAAAAAAAATACTGATCAAATTTGCGCTGTTTTTAATAAAGTTAAAAAAACATTTCACCATTCATAAAACTTCCTAAATATTTAACATATAAATATTCGAAAATATTTTCGAGTCTATTTAACACCAACAGATTAAGCTTTTTAAAACGGCAACAATTTTCAACCGGGAAAAAAAGATAATGATATTAACAAAAATTCAAGATCCATTTGATGGCATTTATTATTCCACAGGCTTTTTTGTTGCTTCTCTTGCTTGGCAAATCAGTATTTTTCGACTTTTTTGTGGCTGTCAAGCTCCTTGACTTCTTGAGCTCTTTTAAAGACCAATTCAAAGCAATCAAGTGGTATCCAAAGTCCGGCATATACAAGTATATTTAGTATGTCTTGAAAGTGTAAATTGTGCTTATGTGATGTTATATTAGGTGAATGCAATTTTATTTTAACATTCGGACGGCTGACATTTTTTTGATGTCCGATAACAATAGTGCCTTCAATTCTTTTCATCTTAAATCTGTGAGGTGGTTTTCAGCGTGCTTAGACCGAGCTAGTGTTAAGCGAGGGCTTAGTGTTCTTGTTTTCCTTAATACGAACATGCTCAAAACGGCGCCATTCCAGAGTCCTGTTGAGGTCCTTTCCGGTATGCTCGAAAAATCAATAAAAATAGTTTTAATTAGTTTCTTAAGAGTGTCCCTCTTAACAACAAATAACAAATAAAAGGATTCTTTTTGTAAATTCTCACTGTTGCAGTTTACTCCATTTTTATAGCCTGTACCCAAAGGGTGAAAGGCTATACTAGTTTTGTGCGCATGTATGTAACACACAGAAGGAGGCGTGGCAGACCCCACAAAGTATATATATTCTTGATCAGGATGAGAAGCCGAGTCGATATAGCCTTGTCCGTCCGTCCGTCTGTCCGTCTGTCCGTATGAACGCAAGGATCTCAGAAAGTATAAGAGCTAGAATAACCAAACTTGGTTTCCATATTCTCCTAAGACCGAGAAAGTACGAGTTTGAGTTTTTTTTCGATGCACCCCCCCACTCCCCCGCAATTCGTGTTTTTTCTAATAACTTCCGTAATTCTCGAAATTTTGAAATCAATTTTGGTAGGTGCATCCAGTTAGTACTAATGTGTCCGTGTGCCAAATTTCATCATGATAGGTCAATTCTGAAGAAAGTTATAGCCATAAGTAAAATCGCTGCTCATGCGCTGCCTGCAGCTCTGTCGGCAGCGCTGCCCGCAGCTGTTGTTGTTGTTGCTGCTTTGGTTCAACTTTGTGCTGCATACATACACGCATATAAACACGCATAGGTACGCGATGTAAATGTATGCTGTTAAAACTGAACATAAACATGTATTCTAATTTAATGAATTAATTAATTCATTCATTTTTTTTAATAATTTAATTTTTTTTTAAATTTTTTTTTTTTTTTTAATTTTTCTTTTTTGTGGAGAGTACAGGCTATTTTACTGTCGGGCTTGCTCGACTGTAGCGTTCTGTCTTGTTTAAGGTCAATATGTAGGAACAAATCTTATGTCCCACACCTGATTTGTTCAAAATATCTGCTGTATTTTGTAGGCCTGTGTTAAAATGATTGTTTTTTTGCTCTTTTCATTGTCATTTCATGTCAACTCATGTCTAGCGGTCGATAGATTATAAAATTCAAATAAGGTATATCGTACCTATAAGAAAATCATAAAAGAATTAGGCAATCGTTTCCTGCCAATGCTTTGTAAAAAATTATTCTGAAATATTGGCTTTCGTAAATAAGACGCTGGACGTGGAATAATTTGTAAGGAATGTTTTATTTGTAATGCAATTATCCGACATTTTTACACAATTACTCAAATTGTTATCAACAACGAAATTAACAAGTACATATATTATGTATAATAAAAGCAATGAGACTAGTCAACCTTAAAATACACGTTTATTGCAGTATATTATAAGCAAAACAGCCCAATCGAAGACTTACATATGAATGCATATTACTTATTATAAGTATGCATACACACGTGTGTCTAAAGGCCAGGCTTATTAGGTGAGCATACGTAAATGTGGATGAAAGGGCCTCAAAAATTGATCCAAAATTCGGAAAACCAATTGTCTTGGGATATTTTCAAACCTATAAGCATTGTAATGTATATAAGCGACATTTCTTACATTTTGATTAACAAGGTATCGACACATTAGCACAATTCCTCTTTCTTTGTAACGGAAACTGTAAAGTGCTACAAATAGTGATTTGCCTGCAGATTTTCTGATCAATAACTATAGGTATATGTACGAGTATGTATGAATATTATCAGATATATCTATGAGGCATTTGTAAGAATGCAGTGCATGCACGTGTTTGGATTAAAGTTTAAACACATTTTGATTTTCCGTTACTCAACACATTTAACTTTTGCTGCCAATTTGTTTTCGTGCATTTGATTTTTAGTTGCGAATTTTAATTGGACTAATCGATTATGTGAAAAATATTTGTTGCTTTGCAAGAAAATGGCTGCAGACGCAGGGACTAATTGCTTTAAGCCTAAACAAGTATATAATTCAAATATACTAATATATTTATTTTATTTGTTTGTCTGTACATCCATAAAGTAAGTTCCTTTGTTTTCACACGGTGATCATAGGGAGTGAGATATACAAATAAGTAGTACTCATACATATGTATAATTCCACCTGTTCATAGTTTAGATCTACATAGTTCGGGGTTTTTTTTCTTGAGATGAGTTCGAAAATTGACGGCGTCACACAATTCGGCTTACAAGTTCTGCCTTTATCGATATACATGTACTCTTCTATATACTATTTAGCTCTTAAAACTTTAAAGTTTAAAGTCAACTTAGCATATATTTGGATAACTCTTAGTTCATTTAGATTTTGCCTCGCTTTGATCATTGTTTGTCTTTTGTCGAATTTTTAATTGAGTTTCGTTTTTGTAAACGGATTTCGTGAGATATTCGCATTTTTCTTTGCTCTACATATTAATAATCAAACGTTGAGACACCGGTATGTATTTTGTGCTGGTTACTCATACTACATAGTTAATAATTTACGAATGTGTGCTCAACTTTTTGTAAAATCATTGTTGAGTTTGTGCTAAATGAGTTACATTAGTTCGCTTAAATGATATAATATTGCCACAGTTTGCATTCTAACACTCAGATAGTGCAAATACTTATATATGTATGTACATATGTACTCGTATATTGTATTTATTAGGCCGAGGAGTGTCTATTTTGAAGGCTACGATTGCTTATTTATAGATTCTTTTGAATTATACATAGGTTCCATACATATGCCACATACGAGTTCGTAGTACACACCAGTACCTATGTACATATAACTATGTATGTGTGTGTTTTGCAGGGCTCCAGTACTTATGCCTAGGTAGAACAACTCGTGTACAGTTATCACATAAGGACTAGTTGTGATAAATATGTGTAATCAACCTCAAAATCGATTACAGTTCATGGCCTTCTATTAGGCAGCCCGCGGGCTAAATCGCTGCAATCGAAATTTATTTTAAGTATTGATGCATACATATAGTATAGTATGTATGTACACATATTCATATACTATATAGTAGTGCTTTCTATAGCTTAAAGCCTACAGAGCTACTAAGTAAAAACATACATCTGTGCTTAGTATTTATTGTGTTTGACTAGTAAGTACGATTTAATTAGTGTGCTATTGCCAGTACGAGTACCGAAAGGCTTAACAGTATGTTTGCAAAGGGACAGAGAAAGAAAAGTGGGAAGAGAGGGAAAGAGAGAGAGAGAGAGAGGGAGAAAGTTTACCAAAAGGTTGCACGCACGGGTTCGTCCTTAAATAGATCACATATTTTGACATTCAGTTATGTTTCATATTGCAATTGTTTGTATTTATAAATGTGGGTTCGGTTTTTTAAAACGACTCAATGGCTCTTTACGAGTATTTAATGTCATGTGGGCGCGAAACTTGCCGCATGAGCTAGCTGCATACAACTTCAAAAGTTTAGAAATGCTTTCAAGTTGAAGCATTTCAGTTCAGTTCCCTTGTATTTCTGTTTAAACGCCAATTAGAAATCGGTCAGCCCCCCTCCGCTCTTGTCAGGCTCGCTGCCAGCGCTCGAGGGAGTCACCAAATTCTAATTGGACGGTTTTCGTCATAAGAGGGCACACAGCTTAGAGCGCTTCTTAGACTTATCAACGGTTCCTGCTGAAGAAGTGGACGATGAAGCCGACATGCGTCCTACATTGCCCCCATGTGGTTGGCAAGGACTGGTCGGACTCTTGTCGTCCAGATCCTCACTGACATGCGATTCCAAAAGCTTAAGCGATGTCTTAGGCTTTGCGCCGTCCATGCTGTTGTACAGAGTCTTTGTCAGCTTAGATCGAACTACTTTTCCCAGGGCTCCGGTCTTCTTGATGCTTAGTCGGGAACCACTGCGCTGATGCTCCGGTGTGTTGCTGTCATCGCCGCCGCCTCCGCTACCAAGCTGCTGATTGCAGTTGAGTGTCGTTACTGTGAACTCAATGTCCTTGATTTCCTCATCGGCACAGCCGGCAAACTCTTCCACTGGCTTGTCTATAGTATCGTGATCGATCCAAGTGAGGCCCATTTCCACCTTCTCGGCCAGATCTTGCCAGTTGCGCCTATTCTCGAGCGTGCCCTCGTAGAGGGGCGTGATCCAAGGGAATGTGTCGCACAGCACCCGGTACAGCGGCAGACAAATGACGTCTATAAACCCGACTTGCATTTTGGGTAGCTCGTCCTTTCGTTCCCTACACCGGACATTGCATGATAAAAATTGATTCTTGAATACTTGTTGACCCCTATTTACCTGTCCATCATTGCAACAGGCTGTGTGTTGAGCTGCAGCTTCTCCAAGTCGCCTTGGTCAAAAAACTCATCGGCCACCAGCTTGGCCACCCGATGTTGCACCTCCCAGGGTTTGGCTATAGCACTCACGTCGCAGGCCGTCATCATCATGCCACAGAGCACTGAAGAACAAAATTATTTAATACGATGCATATGTATAGTATGTCTATTATTTTAGATTATGGTTCTTACAATCCTTTTTCTCCTCGCCTTGCCAGTCAAACTCGCCATTTTCTACGAGTTCCAGGAAAGCATTGCGTTTCTTGAAATACATGGCCAAATCGGTGGAGAGAATAGCACTTTCGACAGTTTTCATAACAGAACGATAGTCCTCGGGTGAGAGAGCCTGAAAGATTTGAAAAGTTTGAATAAAAGTTGCACATGAAATTCAAAGAGGTTGCACCCAATCACCTGAAATATGTTGTTGCCCTCCGAGTTCAAAATCATGACGCACTGATCGAAATGGTGATGCTCCATAGTGCTAGTAGTATAAAGTATGGCCAACGGGGACTCTGTTTTTGTCTGGAAAGCGTTATTTGTTCCGCGATGATCGAGGTCGTGGCACAAGCAGGCAACCAACAAGCCCAAGATCTCCAGATCCGTCATAAATCGCTCCATTTTTCCCGTCTTCAGCATCGCAAACATAGTCTGTGCAACGTTCAGCGCATGTCGCCAATTGTGGTACTTAACTGGACGATAATTTTTGCGCACACTCAACACCCAGCGACAAAGCACCTATGAAGAGAATTTCAATTGACAAATGTTACTCCGTCAGTCTCATTAAAAAAAATTAAAATCATTCTCAATTGTTGCCATTGTAATTGATTGGGGCCGGGCATTATCAACTTCCGAATTTGAATACTTCGGATTAGAATTATAAATATTAAGAACTGGCTAAAGTGAAATGGTATTTTCACAGCAAAGGACAGATTGATAGCACCCCTCCCGCGGAATCTTTGGTCTATATTTTGCAGTTGAAATCGGTCGCATTTATAAATAAACCGATTTTGATAAGCAACTAGAGCTACATACTATACTACAAAAGAGTGAGCGGGATTCAGGAGTCAGGAGCAATACATACAATGTTTTTTTGTTTGAAAGTATTTTTTCGCTCACACTCGCTAGCGAATTGAAATAATTTGGGTTTTGCGGATATTGTTCATCTTATAAATAGTATTCTTCTGCGAGTGGAAAGCTTAACAAGCTACTTAACATTCATTACCATAATAAGAAACTCAACCAATTGGTCTTCCGATAAATGCATTACTCATATTTCTAGATATAACTAACTCTCTCCACTTTAGCAAAAAGTAACCCAATTACAAAACCACAATGAATGCAGCAGCGTCGATACATTTCGTCAATAGTTTTGTTGCTCTCTTCCTTCCCAGAATTGGTATTTTTTGCGAACTCATATGATGCTGCCTATTTATGCCTCGGTCTACTACGACTTCTGCATGTAGGGTAGTAAGTTGTATCCCATAACCAATAATATCTTATGAAAATAGCGATTGCTTATTACTTCTGAGCTGTTATATAGGAACTTCTGCAATTTATACAATGACTATGTGAATTTCTTATTAAAGTCCTGTTCCATGTTCGAACATTTTATTCGACAGGGAAATTGAGAAATGGGAGCATCTTACCACAAAATAAGGTTAAGGAATGCATGACTTTTTATAAATCCTTTTTATACTTTTTTATTTTTATCAATTTTTCTCTAACAGCCTTTGAGCTATACTAGCTTAGAAATTTTGTACCGGTTTTTCTTGCCTACGAACTCATATAATATAAGTGGTACGTTGGGAGCGACCAGATATCAAATAGATAAACATATCATAGAAAAGCAGTGACTTAGAAAGTGTATGAAAATTATTTCTTTATACTTGTATCTCCATATCTCTATAGGAACCATAGTAGAAAATTTAGTATGTTGTTAAATGATTTCTTAAGAAAAAATAAAATATTCTTCAGCTTATTCAGCCTTCAATGTTAGTGATTGGATGAGAAAACCGGCCTGCATATACAGAAATTGACTGTTTTGGGATTTTAACTTACATCATAGGGAATATGGAACTGTGAGACCAAGTTGCATTGCAAGAACATTCGCAGTACGGCACGGCACGTGTCATCGTCGACGAGATCAAAATCTGTGTTGGTATTGGGAGAGTAATGGAGTGGAAAGTAGAAAGAAAGGCAGAGATCTTACCGGTGAAAGTAAAGCTGTACAAATTGTAGGCCTCCGCAGGAGCCACGACGTCTTGGGCCAACTTCTCCGTTTGATCTTGGCCCGCCGTGGCGTGGTAGGACAAACATTCTAAAGCCACCTTTTGCTTCGCCATCAGTTTGCAGGCGTTCTCGTACATCTGCGTATTGTGAATGCCAAGGCCGCAGAATATTGCAAAGGCTTCAAATATGGATGCATCCGACTCAGTAAACGGGACACCCTTGGCCTAAGGAACGAGGTAGCGAGAAGCAAGAGAGAAAAAGAGATAGCCATCCATTAGGTACAAGTGCCATCCCTTGCCCCCCACTTACCTTATTGATCAGCTGTGCCACACCTATAACCGTCTTCTGCGCATTCACGATTGGCATACAGAGTATGGCCTGGGTGCTATCGATCTCGCTCTCGGCACGTATTTGGTTGTGGTCTCGCACCCACTCGTGCACATCGCATATGTTCACCGTTTGGCCAGTGGTGGCCACAAACTGTGCAATCTGCGCCAACGTCGAGTTGCTGAGATCGTTGATCGAGGGACGTGAAACATTGGCTGCGTGATATTCGCCTCCCAGCTCGAAGAGCACAGTAAAGCGTGTGCGCATCTTTTGTTGCTAAGATAGGGTTCAATTATAAGTATATTTGCATAAGATGTATTAATATATGTTCTCATTAGGACCTACCCCGAAAGTTGGGGAGAAAGCTTTTTTATGCAGACACAGAAAACTAATTTGAATTACTGTACTTGTACACCACCTGCTATTGAGATTAGAATTATTTCTGAGTGATAAATAACCTAACAACGTCCACAGCCATTAAAATTTGAATACGAACTCCTTTTTTCACTAAGGGGAATAAATTCCACTTTATAGAATCTTTAGATTTATATTATATATACGTTTCGAAATGCCCTCGTATCTGCTATTTCCCCCTTCAATAATATTTTGACTGACTATAAAATATGAAAATATCCAAAGTGCTTGGATCATACCCAAGTTGAAGGTGAATTGAAAACTAGCGCTAGCCGTATAACTCAGCACTGATAAATTGATAAATATGAAACAAAATACACGTCAAAGTAAATCTGTATTGTTGTTATACATATGTATGTATGTATGTCTCTAAGGGTATGGACAATGTTTCAAAGATGTTTGATTTGGAGCTTACCTTGTCCTCGAAGCTTTCCCCACCCTTAATGGCACGACTGGGCCGCTGGTCCGATTGGTTAGGCTTCTCGATAATCTTCTCCAAATGGCTCTGCAAAATATCACATAAAAGACGTGAACATTAAGTGTCGAACAGGTGGCATCTGGCAAATACATAAAATTGAATTCGCTGCTGCTTGTTCAATCATTTTTCTAAATCTAAGCTGACATGTCCATACTGATTAGCGTGATACGGGTTTTAATATACTTGTATATGCTGACGAACTTTTATAATTTGCACGGACGTCTGCTATTCACCTCACTGGTGCACATTTATTGCGTGGTGATAGCCAGTGGAGATAGTATCCGCTACTCCAGTATATAGTTAGTGGATATAGTAAATCGATTCGTAATCCCAAGAATGTATACCTCTTCACAGCAGTCCAGATCGACGAGAAACACCGAACAGCGCTCGCAAGTTAGGAGCTCACGTGCTTCCGTCATGATTTTGGTGACGAGACACTCGAGATTGTTCTGCTCCTCGAAAATGCTGCGTGCCAGATTCAGAAGTATTTGATTACGCCTGTACTCCTGTACGGACATTTCAAATAGCTGTGCGTTTTGTATGCCGATGCCGCAGAATGTCAGATAGCGACGGAAGATTTCCACATCGTGTTCATCGAACTCCATACAGCCTGCAAAAAGCGAACTGCAATGCATTTCTGTGGATGAGGGGAGCTGCCAGGACCTTACCATTTGTCTTGTTAATGATTTGGGCCACGCCTATGATGTCACCCTCGTAGTTGCAAATGGGCATGCAGAGTATGGCATTCGTTTTGTAGCCAGTCTTCAGATCGATTTCGCAATTGAAACGCGCATCCTTATACGCCTCCTTGATGTTAATCATCTCTTTTGTTTGTGCCACCATTCCAGCAATGCCAATGCCAAAAGGTATGATAATCTCTTCGGCGCGCGCTCGCTTCACTGCATCCTTCAGGGCTGTGAACAGAGCAGAATAGTAAATCATAAAGTGCGGTCGCACGCCATGGAATTGATACTAAATTTATAGCCAAAATATTCACTCCGTAAATAATATACTTGTACATACTATGTAGTATACGCGGCCACAGCATCAACTTTCCCCAAAAATGAAATACAATGTCTGCCAGTCCGCCCCAGCCCTACGCCGAGCACAAGGCGCCAAAAGTCAAATGTGGCTGGCTGAGCTCCCAGCAGAATTTGCATAAGCACAGACCACCCCGCCATAATCTCGGATTCTGACTCCCGGTCACATGGGGGAGGAGCATTAGAGATATGTATACTTATGTATGTATGTATGATCAGTGGCGTACAGCAGGCCAGAAGGAGCACCTTTCTAGTGTTTACTTCACATCGTTCTATACAAACTTAAGAGTTATTTTCGCAGTCTTCCCCTTCAAACGTTCTGAATACGCCCATGTCTCTGGTTAAAAATGCATGTTGATACGAGTTTGTTTACATACATATGTATGTATGCATTGGTTGTACTCTAGCTCTAACATTTTTATATTTTCTCTGTCAAGGTGTGTGATTTATAAAGCGGAAGCAGCGACTTTCACTCATGCGGATATACTTTGGGATTCATTACCACTTGGGGCATGTCGGCGTACGTGCGGGTGTATGTTTAAAGTGCCCGTCTCACCCAACATTTATTTTTAATTCGAAAGCGTACTTTCCTTCGTTTGACTGCGCCATAACTTTTCAAAAAGCTTAATTTGCTAATGCGTTACGGACAACCTTTTAAGGACCTGCTTTCTTTAGACATTCATGAAAAGTGGCAGGCGGTTTTCTCTTTAGTAATAAGCAGGTGGCGTCAAAAAAAGAGGAAACATTTCATTTTAGCTAGTTCGTTAGTTTTTTGTCATTATTTTACTTGAAAAGGTACTATATAAGCCCGCAGTCATTAAAACTACTCGCAAGTTATGTATGCTTCAAGGCATGATATTTTCTAATTGCCAAAAAAAGTTAATAAAGCTAGAGGTGGTTTTTATAGCTCAGTAAAGTGGAAAAACAGCTAAAGCTTTTCTCAAACAAGGCCAGAAATAGAACAGAAAAGAAAACACTTTCATTTTACAGAAGACCTGTTCCCCGTTCTGTGTTCGTTTAATTTACGAGTATTTTGTATCGAAATTGGTTCTACGATGAAAACAGTTAGTACGGTTATTTCCAAATAATTACCCTATATTAAATTGCAAAATATTGCCCAGATTTGAAGGAGTCCAAAAATATTGTTAGCTTGTAATTTGGTGGAACACCTATTTTGACCAAATTCAACTGCTTAAACTACAAGAAGAGCAAGAGTTAAACCACATGAAATAATTCTTAGCTGTTGCAAATTCCACTTCTCTGTCAATTAGATACACTATACTACGAGTATATGTATGGTACACTGATCTGCAACAGCACATCTACAACAGACCTATTCTATAACCCTATTTGTCAGTCCAATAAGCATCGAAGGGGAAAGAGCTATTAAAAAGTTCAAATGTATGTAACAGGCAGTAGTGCCAAAAATGTATTTAATAATATCGATTACACATTTTAAACTATGTGAAACAGACCATTCACATGCGAATTTGTTTGTCAAGCTTTGTCAGCAAATTGCATTTGTATGCATACATCATTTTCCAAAAGGGAAGGACGAATGCAAAATACAAACTAGCGGCTCTAATGACAATGCAAATATGCGTAGTGCACCAAAATACGTAAATTTTCTCATACTTTAATGCGAAAATGTTTAGTTTGGTAATTTTCAGTTTTATCCTTCCATAATGATGGCTCATTTTTGAGGCATTCAATGAATTGGAGCAAAAATTCGTTGCTGATTTTGACTCGTGTTTTCTCAAAGTCAGACGCAAGACGGAAACATCTTTATTCCTCGGGGGAAAAATGTCAACACTAGAATTTATACCGAACACCTCTTCTAAAGTCAAACATTTCGTCGAAGCGAAAAAACTCGACGAGCAAAGTTTTCTTTAGGAAAGTCGTAGGCATACCTGTCACCATATTATCTGAAGAAGTGCTATAATATTATTTATAATATACATAATATTAAAGTTAATCTTTGGCATTTTCCCATATAGAACAAGTAACAAAAAAGTTACTTAATTTGAACATATTTAATCCTCCCAGCTCTTTTCCTAAGGTAATTCTTACTTTAGCTTGAAATTGCAGTGTTTGTAAAACTGATTCCAAATGCGAATTTATTCGTCAAGAGTCGAAGGGACTTGATTGCGTTTTTTAATATTTACAGTATGTGCATTCATATGTTGACAAAAGAGCTGCAACCTTGGCTAAAGGTCAATTTAGAATACTATTTAGTCCTTCTTACCTGTCTTTTGTGTTACATCGAAAAGTTTAGCGACTAGATATTTGTTGTGGGGCGTGCCCTTGGCCAGAAACAACGAGCCGCGGTCCGCATGGGTTAGAAGACCGACATTCACGAGTATCTTGTGGCACAGAACATCAATGTCCAGCTCGTTGGCAACGTCACGAATCAGTTCCATGAAAAGCTCACCCTCGTCCAGGTCCATTAAGTGGCGACGACTCTCCGCTAGCGAGTGCCCGGATGCAGTCGAAAGGCTGCGCGTTTTCTTTGTGGACGAAATGGAGAAGAGACAACAATAAATGCTAATGAAAGGCTTAGATTTTAGTGCCACTGGCAATGGCGCTGGCGTATTCGCTTGATTGGGCAGCGCTGCTTGGCTACTAAAAATAATTAACTTTTGCCAGTGGGCGGGTCTATTTAATTGACCTTCGTATTTTAAGTGGCAAGCGAACGTTTCTCCTTCTAATAACTTCATCAGCGAGCCGAGCTAAAGGCGAAAGCATTTGAGCTGCCATTTGATAAAAATATAATTCCGCAGCCATTATCATCATCATCAGCTGCTATTAAGAATGCATAAGCACTACCCATGTGGGCGGAGGTGGTCTAGGATCTATAGGCCAGACAAAACATCAATTCCGATATGTGACATTTAAAGCCACTCGCCAAGTGTGGCGTGTTTTATATCAAATTAACCCGTAGGACAAAAGTGCACATTAGCAGCTGAAGTTTTCAGCATACGCTGGTAATTGAATACAAAGCACTTAGCCTTGCATGACCCGGACCCTGCGCCCAGGTACAACTGGACGCTGTTGACGCCGTTAGTTCGTGCGTCGAGTTAATTAAGGAGCCCGTGACCCGCGAGTTAGAGTTGCGTGTCGTGCGCCTATTCGGCAACGGTCCCCTCTGGGGCCTAGATTGGGCATAGTGGTAATGTGGCGGTGTAGCACTTTTTCGCAAAATTGAGGCAATTTGTTTATTCTGACGCCGCCCCGCGTGTAACAGAAAAGAAGTGTACACATTTTGGTTGTACTACTTAATAACTAAAACCGTTTCGAGCTGCGCACAATGGTAGCCCAATATCGAAAATTCCCTTTTCAAAGTACAGTACAAGTACAATGAGCAAGTAACCAACCCAAGTGGGAGATAAGTCTTATCAAAACTTAAATTGAATGCAGCTTCTGTTCGCTTTTGATTGACCCCTTGAGGAAACTATAAACATAGCTTTGGTCTTTTAGATAAATTCAAATGCCAATTCTTTAGAAAAAATGGAATGCTACAGTTGTGTGCGCTCAGTTATTAAAAAAACAAGTAAAAAAGCTAGTCGGGGATCCCGACTTTGAAATACTCTGTACATATGTTTACAATAATTATAGAAAATAAAAAAAATTAAGAAAATAAAAAAAAAACAAGAAAGGAATGCTGAAGTCGAGCAGGCTCAACTCTTAAATACCCTGTACCAACCCACAAAAAAGAAATTAAATTAATTAATTAATTTAATTAAATTAAATGATCAGAAAGAAAGTTATAGCCATATAACCAGGCCCAATGCACACATACATACATATGTACAAGTACACCAACACGAATAGACAAGTTTAGAAAAAAATCCCCATCTCCGAAAAAGACACTACCCTTATTAACTAAATGTGCAATAACAGTTTTAAGTGTATGAGAAAAGCACATGTGTTGTTGCCATAGCTGAATGCTTGATTGGCCAATTGGTTTGAGCGTCTACTAAAATGACATATAAAGGGAAAAAAACAATGATACTGTTAATAAAAAGAAATCACTAGTCACAGAGATAAATGTTGAAACCCCACTAAAGTGAAACAGACGATAAGCTGAATGTAAATGGGGTTCTGAGGACTCCACAAAAACAATCGTGTCCACCATACTAACTAAGCCACATGCATAAGTACTTATCCATAAATAAATAACTGATACACATACAAACTCAACAGTTGGCAAAATTATTAGCACTTCTATAGTTGGGAAAAGCGAAAGCATCATGACCGAGCCTTAATGGGAATTGGTTCTGTGTCTATGTTGTTCGTGGCAATTTTTATGCACACACACACATGTGCATATATTTGAGCATCGGGCTTTTCATGACAGTTTATAGAGGAGGCATACAATGTGGAGCACTCACTGTAAATTAAATGAACTTGCCTTGCACCTCACATTTGGTAAAAGGACATGGAATCCGACTTAAGCCAACTACTTAGCTGTAGTCAATATATGTGCAGTACGTAAGCGGAGAACGCTTGGATTATATAACATGCACTTAAATAAATTGACAATATCGGTAATGACACGAGACATGCGCGCAACACCTCCACCAATAACAGCTTAGTGCCAGGGGAAGACTGACATGGGTGTATGCACCGAGAGAAACTCCCTTTCTTCCCGAACAATTTTAAAGAAAAACAAGTAAAAAAGCTAAAGTCGGGTGTCCCGACTTTGAAATACTCTGTACATATGTTTACAATAATTATAGAAAATAAAAAAATTAAGAAAATAAAAAAAAAACAAGAGAGAACGCTACAGTCGAGCAAGCCCGACAGTGTAATACCCTGTACCCAGGTAAACTTCCGTCACTGAGTTATATGCGCCCATAGCAGCAGCAAAAAGAGGAAGAAGAAGAGCGAACTTGTTGCTGCAGTTTGTGGGGGTTGTACTGGGGAGAATTTGTTTTGCTAATAACTTTTCTTAGAATTGACCGAATTGAATAATACAACAGTAGACAATTATATATTAATTATGTGCGCAAAGTTTGGTTGAGGTAGCATTTGAAATGTGGACGCTATTGACGAAATTCTGTAGCGGGGGAAGGGGGGGAAAATTAAAAAAAAAAAAAATAAACTCGTCCTTACTCGGACCTAGGAGAATCTGGATGCCAACTTTGGTTATTCTAGCTTTTATAGTTTCTGAGATCCTTGCGTTCATCCAGACGGACGGACAGACGGACGGACATGTCTAGATCGATTTCTCTCGTCATGCTGATCAAGAATATATATACTTTATGGGGTCGGAGATGCTTCCTTCTGTATGTTACATACTTTGCACAAACCTAATATACCCTTTTTACCCTACGGGTACTGGGTATAAAAATGTGATCGATTTTACCTCTCTCGGTATTCGAACTCACGTAAACGGTGTATAATTGCACATTTACATAGCAATTGCGTCTGTGTGAGTGTATGTATGCCTATGCGCATCTATTCGTGTCTGTGTAAGCATTTTCGCAGTCAACCAAACAGCAACATCAACAACAGCCGCGGGCAGCGCTAGAGGGGGGAGGGAGGGGAATTCCAAAATATACATTTTCTGCGTATTCACATAAGGCATCTGGGACTAAAATTTGGTGTTGCTAGGTCTTATAGTCTCCGAGATATAGGCGATTATACGAATGGAAAATCGGGAAAACCCCCATAGGGGGGAAGTGGGGGGGGGGGAAATCAAAAAAATAAAACAAACTCGTATAGAATACACACATAACGCATCTTTGTGGAAAATTTGGTGTATATCTCTTATAGTCTCTGAGATCCAGGTGTTCATACGGACGGACAGACGGACAGACAGACAGACAGGGCTAGATCGACTCGTCTCGTCATGCTGATCAAGAATATATATACTTTGTGGGGTCTGCCACGCCTCCTTCTGCCTGTTACATTTTTCAGCTCCCGCAAACCTAATATACTCTTGTACATTTCATGTACAGAGTATAATTATGCTCCAGCTTCGGAACTTAGTTCAAGTTCGGGCTGTCATTCCTGGATATCATGAAAACTACCTAAGTTCCTGAGAGAATATTACAGTCGAACTAGTCCTTGTTCCCCTTTAGCTACAGAGTACATACATATATAATGCCTATTACTGAAAGTAGCCCATGAGTGGCCCATCAATCAAATCACAGAGGACAGTAAAAAATTTGATCGCATATGGATTCCGGAAATAATTATGTTGCACAACTATTGTGGAACTTCATGTTATGCTTCTACTTCACACGCCTTTCCGAAGATTCTATTGGAATGGCTTGCATTGGAATTGCGAACACGGCTTTATATTTCAGAGCATGGATTCTCTATAGTCGTGAACGATTTATTAATGCTTTTTAACGGAGTCGAACAAAACTATTTACTTTATAACTTTTGTAATATTTGAGGCTGCCAATCCTTAAAATAATTCCAACAACATTTTCAAATATATGTTAATGGTTTAACTTTAAACGAGCTATGCTTGATTTTCTAAGTGTGGAATTGACGTGGAAACCCTTACAGTGTTTGTGAGCGAAACAATTGCCGAGCGAATGGTGTCACCATCTTTACCAACTAAAGACTTTGCGCTTAACTTGGCAATCATTAAAAAGCTCTCTTTGTTTTTCACTTTTATTGTTAAGACCCAAGGCTGGAAGCCAGACAGCGAACAAAAGTGCAGTTAGCGGAAGAAGGCACCTGTCGTTGCCCCTGTTGGCAACTTGTTTCGTACTCAGCCCTCCCATTTAGGGACTCCGTCAGGTCCACCACCGCATATTACATACGAATGCCTGTTCTCCTTGGCTCGCATTTAGCTGGAATCAATAGTGCAAGGTAGGTGTGTGTGTGTGTGTGGGTGTACATACTCGTGTTTGTGGGCATGTATTCGTCTAAGGACACTTGTGTGTTTATGCTCAGCAGACAACCGAGTGCAGTTAACGAGTACCACTTACTGTCATAAGCAAAACAAGTACCCATCCTTCGGCACAACACTGCGACTTGTGCATAAAAGTTGACTCCACGTTCCAGAAAAATGAGCATAGAGTACTTAGAACATTCGCTTGAATGAGATTCCATAGCAGGTATGCAGTACACACAGTATGTGTTCAATAAACATGTCGAGTGGGTACTATGTAGCTTATTCATAACAAATATTAATGTGCTGTGTTTGTTGGCTCCACTTGTTGATAATTTCAGGATAATTGTTAAATAATAATAATACAAATATCCAGAAATTTTAATTACTGAATTCTGGGAATGTGCGTTTCATCTTTATATCTGCATCCCCTTGGGGTAATCCATTCATATTTTTAATTAGCATTCTTCTCCCACAGAAAAGTCAATAACCAGGAATCAAGAAATGTTTTGGAATATCCATTTACTTAATTTTCTGATGGGAAAAAGATAAATAGGAACAAGTAAAAAAGCTAAAGTCGGGTGTCCCGACTTTGAAATACTCTGTACATATGTTTACAATAATTATAGAAAATAAAAAAAAGAAAAATTTGATCGATTTTACCTCTCTCGGTATTCGAACTCACGTGAAGGGTAGGGGGGAAAATCAAAAAAATAAAACAAACTCGTATAGAATACACACATAAGGCATCTTTGTGCAAAATTTGGTGTCTCTATCTCTTATAGTCTCTGAGATCCAGGTGTTAATACGGAAGGACAGACGGAGAGACAGGGCTAGATCGACTCGTCTCGTCATGCTGATCAAGAATATATATACTTTGTGGGGTCTGCTACGCCTCCTTCTGCCTGTTACATGTTTCAGCTCCCGCAAACCTTATATACTTCTGTACATTTCATGTACAGAGTATAAAAAGCCAAATCCAACTCCAACGACGCAACGTTGGAGTAAAGTAAAACAGAAAGAACAAATACAAACAAACGCAATACAATGGAGGTGGCAGTGCAGAGATTCCTCGCAAACACACACACACACATTTGTACCGGGAACAAGCTTACTATGTTACAGGACACATTGTACATTGTCTATGCTATTGCTTATGCTGCACAGTGGGATAAATTGGGAGTTCGGTTGAACTATCATAGCTCGGAAGTACTTGTCGGGCATATGACTGAATATCGTGGCTAGGCCATCCTGTACTTTAAATGAACTTTATATAGAATATAGTATAGCCTTTCACCCTTTGGGTACAGGCTATAAAAATTAAAATTTAAAACAAGAGAGAACGCTACAGTCGAGCAAGCCCGACAGTTTAATACCCTGTACCCAGGTAAACTTCCGTCACTGACTTATATGCGCCCATAGCAGCAGTAAAAAGAGGAAGAAGAAGAGCGAGCTTGTTGCTGCAGTTTGGGGGGGGGGGGGGGTTGTACTGTTTTTTTGCTAATAACTTTTCTTAGAATTGACCGAATTGAATAAAGTTTTGAACAACAGTAGACAATTATATATAAATTATGTGTGCAGTTTGGTTTAGGTAGCATTTGAAATGTGGACGCTATTGACGAAATTCTGTACCGGGGGAAGGGGGAGAAAATTAAAAAAAAATAAAAAAAACTCGTCCTTTCTCGGACCGAGGAGCATCTGGATGCCAACTTTGGTTATTCTAGCTTTTATAGTTTCTGAGATCCTTGCGTTCATCCAGACGGACGGACGGACGGACATGTCTAGATCGATTTCTCTCGTCATGCTGATTCAGAATATATATACTTTATGGGGTCGGAGATGTTTTCTTCTGCATGTTACATACATTGCACAAACCTAATATACCCTTTTTACCCTACGGGTACAGGGTATAAAAAGTGAATTAATTAATTAAGTAATTAAATTTTAACAGCATACAATTACATCACGTGCCTATGCGTGTTTATATGCGTGTACTTGTATGTATGCAGGGGAAGTGCGGGGGAGTGGGGGTGTATCAGAAAAAAAAAAAACTGCATAGGACTTAGGGGAACCTCGATACCTATTCTAGCTCTTGTACTTCCTGAGATCCTTGCGCTCATACAGACAGACGGACTGACGGACGGACGGACAGACGGACATGGCTATATCGACTCGTCTTGTCATCCTGATCAATAATATATACACTTTGTGGGGTCTGCCGCGCCTCCTTCTGTGTGTTACATACATGCGCACAAAACTAGTATAGCCTTTCAAACTTTGGGTACAGCCTATAAAAATACTGCTCAGTAAAAACTCTCATATCAAATGTTTATTTATTTATTAGCCGCTGAAGGAGGTAGAAGCAGAGAAGAACTAAAGCACCGAATAAGTGAACTAAAAAGTAAATCCTTAGTACTGAGTGTTGTGATTCTAGATCTTAAAATTGTTCCAATTTGAACCCTATCGGAAAATATTTTATCTAGTAGAGTGCCAGCCGTTTGTAAAAATATTCCACTGTGCATTGTTGGAATGGTAGGTGCAAAAATGTAACTTGTTTGCATTGGTCGTTCGTCTAACATTTCTTATCTCAAACGCGAGCTGCCTGCTTTTTAGACTTCGATAAGCTGCAACTCTTAGCTACACTTACCTGTTGCACTATGGGGGACGAAGCCATCCACTGCTGAAATAAGTCCGACGTTACGGAGGGGCGCTTGGGCGGCTTACGGCTCTCGATAAACTCGTGCAGGCGGCACAACGCCTCGGGTGGTGCGCGCTCTGTCAGCCATTTCTCAAAGGCCTCAGGCTTTTCCTCGAAAAGGCGCGCCACCTCATCGACATCCTGCTGAGTCGACTTTGGGGTGCTTGCCTTGATATTGGCAGCAGCACTGGAGCGGGGGCTGGCGCAGTCCGCGGATGTGCTGTCGCCTGTGGCCGCTTCCTTGGACTGAATGGCAGCTGGTGAGATATCGGCGCCTGTTGGCGTCTTTGGCGTATTCAAGGCTGGAGTTGAAGGCATCGGTATTGGGATAGTCTCTTCTCCAGACATTTTATTGTTGTTGCTCTGCAAATGACGCTCCAGCTTGACGTTGCTCGGCGCTGGCTTCTTGGCGCCATTGGTCAGCGATTGAGCTGAGGACATTGTGGCAGCATCTGTGGGAGACTCGAGCGGTGTTTTTACCCCTCCTCCTGAAACGTCTGTCATGTTGATCAATGAACTAGGACTGACGCTGAGCTCTGGCTTGAAATCATTGCTGGGATTTATTCATTGAACAAATGAATGGATATCACCTAGTTAGCATTGGACAGATTGGCAGCACGACAGAAAGCGAGCATTCTATATAGCTTACCTAAGTCCTTGTGGCGACACTTCAGTTAACTGCTTTGGTGGCCGCTTGCCCCTGACCACGCTCTATCTGTGTCTGCCGCTGTAGTTGACGCTGTGGCTGCGGCAGCGGCAGTAGTGTCGTTGATTAAGTCACGTAGCCGCCCACTTAGGTTAGAAGCTTGAGCTCGGATTTTCTCAACTTGTTGCGGCAGCCCCCCACCGCATGTCTTTATGGCTTTTACGTTTTATGGGCACGCCAGGTGTCCGCTGAAAAGGGTAATTGATGCGGCCAGCGCTCACGTGTTGTCTCTGCTTGCGCCTTACTCAGATGACTTCAATTTGGGTCATCGTGCCGTCCTCTAGATCAGCATTGTTTGCAGCTCACATTAGACTCTTGATTTCATTTCATGCACGTGTGACGGCTTTTACTCTGACCCTGCGGACAGTGTTTGCTGCTTTAAATATTTACTCCCAAGTGGGTCCTGTCCCCCACTTCGACTCTGCACTTGGAATCGTTCTAATCCTTAACAGTCATTTAGCAGTTCATTTTCGTTTGATTTGTTTTGAGTGCCGGTCGAGTGATTTTCACTGAATGCAGTAGAGCATTCGACCCAATTGAAGAGGGCTGGTCGGTCAGCCTGAAAAAGGTAGAATGAAGAGAAAAACTTTAGCATTTGATGGCGCATAAAACAGCTTTTGTGCAAAGTTGGCTGGAGCCCAAAGGTAAAGGGCTACAGAAAGACAACACAATGATATTTTTATAAATATAGAATCTCACTTTTCCATTTATCCAAATTCAATATCCATCAATGGTTGCTCCGATGTATTACACGTATAACGATAAATAAAATCGAGCAATTAACAGCCTAGATGGTTCGCTGAGTACGTGTAATTAGTATGTATAATCATATTTAATTGCAAAAAAACAACTTAAAAGTACAAAAGATTTATGGAAATGGAAGAATATAGATATTTTCTTTCTAATCGACTGTAGGGGTACATAATACATGGTAGATTGCCAGGCTGACTGAATTGCCTTCTCTTCTGCTATGAAAAAATATTAAATGAATTGCTTTTGCAATTGGTGCTGTCAATTGCCTGCTACGAGACAATAAATTGAAAATAGAAAGAAAAATCCCAATTTTCACCAAACAGAATATATTGTGCTGTAATTTATTAGCTTTAGGTGAGTGGAGAGAATAATGTAGTCTCGCAAAGGCCAATAGAAATTGCAATCCACTGGAATGTATCAGCACGAGTAAGACAAGCGCAAACAAATTTATGGTTGCCTAAAGGTAGCACCCACATGCCCAACTTTTACGAACGCAAATGCAAATGCAACGCAAGATTGGCCGGGGATTGGATTCGAGGAGTAGCCACTTCAAAGACAGTTCGCAAACAAAAACATGCAAAATAGAGCGCATTTGCATTAAAATGGCTTGAAACAATTTGAATAGGAATGCTTGGCACGTGCGCTTTTTTTTTGTAATGGGACCTGCATTTTCTCCTTTTTCCGCCTTGACTTTAGCCAACTATAACCATCAAGTTTCTTGGCAGTACCGTACCCCCTACTCATCCACTCGTCCACTCGTCCACTGTCGTACTCTTGTGTCGAGCACTTCGTTAGTTGTCGCTATTTAGTGGCAGCCATCACCTTCATTTTCATAAACCAACATCCAAGCATGCCAAGAGCAACGTCATTTGTTTGTGTGTTTGACTGTTTGTCTGTGTGAGTGTGTGGTATGTGTTGGCGGGTAACTGTCCGTTATCGTCTTAAGTGTGTGTGTGTGTGTGTGTGTGTGTACTGCGCTGGGCACCTAAGCATGCAATGCAGTTTGCTTGCAACGTGCCGCCATCGTCGTCGTTCTTGTCGTTCTTGAAGTTGTTGTTGGTGTATGCCATAAGCAACGCCATTTTGCATTTAAAACACAAAAGCCAAAAACAAACAACTACGGCAGGAACAGCATCAGCATCAGCATCAGCAAAAAAACAACAACAGCAACAATAATAGTAAAAGGAACAACAACTATGTATGTACCGCATGGTTTATCACGCACTCGTTTGCAATTTAAAATTGGGTAATAAATTCCTGAACTCCTCTATTTGTGTCTGTGTTTGTGCGCGTGTATGTGTATATGTATTTGCATGTGTGCATGTAGGTGTGCGTGTATGCGTTTGTCGCTCTGCCATTCATGAGTGCATGAAATTGCTTTGTGCGCCGCAGCTCACAGAGGGAGAGCTCCTTCGCCGGTTGCTTTGTTACTCTTGTAAATTTGATGCCAACACTAAAGATTGAGATTTTAATGCGTATTTTGGTTAACAAATTTTTTTATTACCAACACTGCTCCGTCCAAGTCAGCTCCAGTTACATAGCTGGTCGTAAATTCCGCAGAAGCGACCTTTTCCTCAGCAACTGAATTTGTGAGCCACTTGAACTCTTCGAATGGGTCTACATTTAATGCTCATAGTGCGTAATACCACCCCAAAAGCCATTTACGACACTGCAAAATTAAATACTGCTGTACATTCTTCAAGCGAGAAAGTAGCAAATAATTATGCTTTTGGCCTATCTGAGGTAATAACGGCCCTTTGCCCGAATAAGATTCCTAGAATATGTAGATCACGAAGCGCCAATAATATAGTCGCCGTATGCACACTATATCTACAAGGTGTGTTCCAAAGTAAACAGGACTTAAAAAAAAAAAACAGAACAAATGGTTTTTTCGGCAAAATCAATTTATTTTATTCAAAATAGTCTTCTTCTGCTTCAATATAGCTTTTTGCACGATCCAAAAGCATGTCGAACGAGTGTTTTAGCTCGATTGCCGATAGGCAATCATCGCCATAAACTTGTTCATCAATTGAAACGTTTCGGTAAAAGTTTTACCAATTTTAAAACAAAATTTAATGTTGGCTCTTTGTTCGAACCTCATTTTCGCATCGATAACACATCCATACTGACACTTAAAACGCAATAACTTCACTTCCAATCGATGAAATGTCATGAAATTCTCACTGGACAATCGACAAAGATAGCAGATTCTAACGCACCAGTCGACATATAGACAGCGCAACCAGGGCCGCTAGATTCAAATAGTCCTGTTTACTTTGGAACGCACTTTGTATTATGTGTTTGAACAAGTATCTTATTTAAGCAGTAGAAATATTCTATTCCAGTAGCCTCATCTCTCAAATACCCTGTACCCACTCCCCCTAATGTGTATTTTTATTTATTTTATTTTATTTATTTAGAAAATCAACAAATAGTGTTCTCTTGATTGATCTATCACGATTGTCGGAAAAACACGAACTCGATCTGTTTAGGACGTAGGGGAATATGAAAACTAGGTTTGGTTATTCTACCTTTTATACTTTGTAAGAACCGTGCGTTAATACAGACGGACAGACAGAACAGTTAAATAGTTCAAATTTATATTTGGAACATTTATGAGCTTTCCAACCCCTAACTCATTGGACGGATCCCATAAATAAGATGTACTATATTCCTGATCAGTATGACAAGACTAGTCGAAGTAGCCATGTCCGTCTGTTTTTCCGCCCGTCTATATGATCGCAGATGCTGACTAATCATCAAGTAATGGCTTCAACATGCCGCTTCGCAATTTAAGATATAGATGTCAAGCGTAATCACAGAAAGCTTTCGCTAATTCCTTTTTTAAGACTTCAATGATTTTGGTAAAATGTGGTTTTTTTTTTCATATGCATTTGTTTATGTAGCTTCGGAATTTTGGACAATATTGCCGAAATTCTGGCGATTATCCAGACAAATGGACGAACATGTCTGGAAGAATATATATACTTAATGGGGTCGGAAGGGAGCATCCCTTCTATCAGTTACAAACTTTGCGCAAAAACTAATATTTATAGCCTTTAACCCGTTGGGTACGGGGTATAATAGAAACTGAGAAGCTCGTACAATTAACTTTAAAATGAGTCAAATGCGCAGACCATTTGTTTGGTCATTGCAAAATGCCGCAGCTAACCATAATTCAAGCTTTGCAAACTGGATTTTGCTCCGTCGTGGTAAACATAACGCTTGGGGTGCATGTCAAACAACCACGCACACAGGCGCCATGAAACACACACACAGAGTCAACACAAAATTTGCATAATTTAAAATTGACACTCAACATGGGCATTAAACTTAAGCAAAATGGCGCAAATCGCATGCGGCACTGCAATTCCGGCCGTAAATTGTTGGGCAGCGTTTAGGGGCAACAAATGTGGGGAGGCTATAGAACTCTGACCATTCTCATATAAAATCGCACAAGAAACAAAATAGGGTATGTGCAGTGCAGCCTAACTGCGGAATATAGCTCAAGCTAGTCATACAATGGCTAGCAAACACGCAAACACGTTATTATTAATTTCAATCTATTAGTTCAATCTATTGTGAACTTTTTGCTTGATCTACATGACGTGATGGGCCTATTTATTTATCTAAAGGAGTTAAACTAGAGTAACTCAATTAAATGACCTAAGACTTTTTACTAGCTAAATGCGAATGTGTGTAACACACAGAAGGTATGTGTGTATGTATGTATATGTGATGATCAGCATGACAAGACGAGTCGATGAAGCCATACTCGCCTGTCTTTCTGTCTGTCTTTATGAATGGTTTTGAATTTGTAAATCGAATGATGAAATTAACTCGTGTAGCTTAGGGACTAGGAGCGTCTATATACCGTTTCTGAAATGAATGAAAAATTAATAAGTGGACGGTCATATTTCTATCGATTTCTCTCGTCCCCTAGAAAAATTACGCAATTTGAAGTCGACCGCACATT